CCTGACCAAATCAGATTTAAGACAATTACACTATGTCAATCAGACCTTACTCTAGGTTACACTCCAACTCAATTTTGTGTCTCTCAATTTTGATTTCCTTGCACACAATCAATCTTTCACGTTATTTTGAAAGTAGTTCATTGGCAGCATTGAATCATATACAATTATATATATATATATATATATATCAATGTGAAGAAGTGTTTCTAGAAAAGGATAGGCATGGGAGTGAAGGCATATCCATGTGAGTCAGCTTCGCACGAGGGTCCTAAAAATTGATGAGCTTTATCCTCCTTGTCTTGTATTAATGCTTTTTAAGTTCCCAGCTAATATTGTTAGTAGTTTGATAGTGATATACCACATGTAAAAATTATTTATTTTAAAATATAGATGTGAGGGTTTAATAAAGATATGTGATTCTGATACTTTATGAGATGATGCAATGGATAATCAACATGCTACAAATTTCGAAGTAACAACACTCTTATATATGTAGTAAAATTCTTAAAATTAAAAACCATCACAGTTTTAATCAATCAACTGTTTTGTTTCAAGTGAAAATTTTAACCCTTCGAAATTTAACTTAGAAAAAGACTGATGATACTGGTCAACAATACTAAAACTGAATAATCTTTTCATCCTTTTTTTTGTTGTTGTTGCGTGGAAAACTAGTAGCTCGTTAAATTAAATAACAAAAAAATGGAAGTTTCATATATATCTCATATGATTAGTTTTCTAAATTTTGTTTCTTTCAATCTTGGGTTTATTAAGAGACTGGTATAGAGAGGCTCACTGTGTGTTTTTGTTATGAAGTGGGCATGATGACGAGCTTGGTTTTGGATTTTCATGGGAAGGTCACATGACAATGAGAACCGTTTAAGCCGCCGTTAAATATGGATGGGAATACAAATTTTCATCCGTCAGTGCCTGATGAGAAGTTGACGTCAACTGACAGAGTCAAGTGGGACGTTAGCCGCAACCGGAAATAAGCAGAAGACCCTCGACCACACTCACATGCATGGCCACACTCTTAACCTTCCTAATGCACACCTGCATCTCCACAACCATATAATATACGATACATGATGTTTTTGTAAATTCGAAAAGATAATGTTAATGTAAGTTTCAACAACCTAGATTTAGAAACAAAAAAAAAAGAAAAGAAAATATATATATGAAAGTCTATACTATACCACTGAGGCTTTCACCAAAAAAGAAAAGATCTTTAATAAGAACAACAATATAAATCCAGATATGTGTACGTATAAAGATGCATGATCCATAAATGGTGTATGGTTTGTTATAAGTGAACACAGGTGGTGGAGTCGGGCCATTGGGGCCGTAAGATAGTAAAAGTAGTGTTTGTGATCTTAAAGAGAAGGGTGAGGAGAGGAGAGACAGTGGCACGACGGTGGCTTTAGCGGCACTGTTTCTCTCATTTCTGCCGTCTCTTTTTCAAACGGGCCCTCACCCACGTTCTTCCTCTTCTTCTTCTCTCATTTACCCTTTCTTGTCTCTATACACCTCACTCATTGTTCCTATTTTTAATTATATGCATTAACAAATATTGGAGATATATACTAATATTTTTTTATGTTTTTGACCAAGAGTATTATGAATTTATGGTTTACCTGCAAAGAATTAACCCTCTTCCTAAAGAAAAGAAAAAAGTATACGTAGTTTGCGATCATAATTATAAAGAATTTCTTATATTAAAACTCGTAGAGCATTAATTGTTTGATTAGGTTTTTCAAAAGTTGTTAATGAAGTAAATCTTTTTTTTTTTGTTAAAGTAATGAAGCAATGAAGTAAATCTATATCGGTAGATATCTATAGAATTATGGTCAATCCATTCATTTTCAATTTATTTTAAGTTAGAACTCCATATTAATTACTTCTTAATTAATTTATCAAAAGGTTTAAGAATGTTTCGATTACTCGGTATATGTCGACAAGACATACTGTATATTTGTTTTAAGTAACTCCAAGTAGATAACGAAAGGCCACATTCCGACCGACATCGAAGAGTTTAATCCTACGCTAGCCGAACAATGGTCTGACGGTCTCTGACCAGTGATCAGCACCACAACTCAATTTTTTTTTTAAAACAATAAATTAAATTGAAAGATAAAGAAAACAGAAAAGCTGAATAAAGACAATAAGTCTCAAATTAATGTTAGTCAAATAAAATAAAATCGAGTATAGTATTACATGCAAATCTAAAAAAAAGTGAGATCCAAAACAGCTTATAACTTTATTGACAAAGAAAGCTCACACGATCCTCCTCGTAGCAACTCCACCGCATATCCATTGTATCTATATGGACCAAATAATCAAGCTACCCTTTTTACTTTTCACTGATTGCATTATACTTAACAAACAATTATTATGACTAGCTAGAAGTAGTAATATATGATTAATATTTGATTTTTTTTCTTTTAATTGGATATGAAATCAAATGTCTCCATGAGTTGGCATATGTGTTGAGAGATTTGACCATGTGAAATATGCATCAACACAATCTTTTGTTATTATCTATTTAAATTAGCACAAATGACAATAATAACCTGTCTAATGTTTTATTTTTGTCTCCGACCATTCATAGTATAATTAAAAAACTTTGCCAACTCACTCTTAAATGATGGCATTATCGTGCGTTTCCATTAATTTTAAAAACGTAATTTGGTATGTATAAAAAAGGTGTTTCGAAACATATAAATCCGTAAACATATAAAAGTGTTTTAAAGACGGCAATGTGAGTACTAAAACTTGCACTACTAGTCGTCTTAAAACATTTATTTTTGTTTTAAGGATTAATAATCTGACGGCAGATTATAGTATTTCCCAAAAAAAAACCCTCTCCAGTGACCATATGAGATCATCCCGACTAAACACCAAAAGAGTGAGTCACGGCCCCACGTGGATACGCGAATCACATCAGTGGCATAGATCCGTAAATTGTACCAAAATTCATAGGTCTTTTCCAAGTTTGGGATGCATATAAGCTATCGCTGGCTCCTCTCCTAATTTCCCCATAAATTTAATTTAACATCTCTCTCTCTCTATCTATCTCTATCTCTTCTTTCTAGTCTTTTTACTTTGGTCGTTCACGATGGGAAAAGGCAGCCTCTCGTTTCTCTTCGTTCTTCTCATCGCCACCACCATCACTTCCGTCCTCTGCTTCACTGACGGTAATCATTACATAGACACTTCTATATGCCTTATTATGTTTATGTACATATGACTGCATTTATTCGTGATATATTTCTAACGAATCAAAGCTTTAACAAAAACCACATTTGGTTGTAAGTAGTTTAGTGGTAATGTTTTGCACCCTAGCTAGTTACTGGTTAATTTGAACTTTTTTCGGAAAATATGTATGGAGCTTACTTACAAGTTGATTCTCGAATCGAGAGGTAGATTACGAACGTGGAACTTGCTCCGTTATCTCGCTTGATAACAAAAGAAAAAACAAACAAATTGGTCGGGACCATTGTTGTTTTCTTTATTATTACTGTTGATCTTTTCTAAATATTGATTGTACTGATTTTAATTTGTAGTAAGTCGGCTAAGAGACTAATTTACCTTTATACCCATTTCTGACTCAAACACTCTTCACATTTTCAATCAATGACATAAGATGGTCCAATTAGGACACATCCCGACCCCTTGCAGAAAATACTATATATAGATAATACTATTATCTACAGAAAAATCACATGAGCGTTGAACTAATATTAATATATTATGTTCGTAATTGTAATGAGGTGGATTTTGTCTTTTCAACCTCAGGGATGTTACCAAATGGCGACTTTGAGCTAGGACCAAAACCATCGGACTTGAAAGGAACACAAGTGATAAGCAAGAACGCAATTCCAAGTTGGGAGCTATCAGGCTTCGTCGAGTACATTAAATCCGGTCAAAAACAAGGAGACATGCTTCTCGTTGTCCCTGCCGGAAAATTCGCCGTCAGGCTAGGCAACGAAGCATCGATCAAACAAAGACTCAACGTGACGAAAGGAATGTATTACTCTCTCACGTTCAGTGCCGCAAGGACTTGTGCTCAAGACGAACGTCTCAACATATCGGTGGCACCTGACTCGGGAGTTATTCCTATACAGACGGTGTACAGTAGCAGTGGGTGGGATCTTTACGCTTGGGCGTTTCAAGCCGAGAGTAACGTGGCCGAGATCGTGATTCATAACCCTGGCGAGGAAGAAGATCCTGCTTGTGGACCACTCATTGATGGTGTGGCAATCAAAGCTCTATACCCTCCTCGACCCACCAATAGTAAGTTTTTATTTATTATGATATATACGAATCGAGTTTATTTATGTCTATTATTATGAAAATGACTTGTCTCTCTTTACAACTACAAGCATTTGTTAATTAGCTCGTTATAGTTATTAAAGCCGTAGGGGTTGACATAAAAAAGAAAACAAAAAATTTTAAATAAATAATTAGGGATGGTTGGATTCTGTTTATATGTCCACATGCAATTATAGTCATCTTGGGTTAGACATGTGTTTTTTCAATGGATTGATTATGATGTGACATGTGTTCCGGAATATCTAAATCAACTGATTAAATTGTTATGGTCTTGCTTGGAACAGAGAATATATTGAAAAATGGAGGATTTGAAGAAGGTCCTTATATACTCCCAAACTCAACAACCGGCGTTCTGATTCCTCCCTTCATAGAAGATGACCACTCTCCTTTACCCGCTTGGATGATCGAATCACTCAAAGCCGTCAAATACGTCGACGTCGAACACTTCTCTGTCCCGCAAGGCCGTCGAGCCGTGGAGCTGGTCGCGGGCAAAGAAAGCGCAATCGCTCAAGTGGCTCGGACAGTCGTGGGAAAGACTTATGTGCTTTCTTTTTCGGTTGGAGATGCGAACAACGCTTGCCAAGGGTCGATGGTGGTCGAAGCATTTGCGGGAAGAGACACTTTAAAGGTTCCGTACGAGTCACGGGGAAAGGGAGGGTTCAAACGCGCCACTATGCGGTTCGTGGCGGTTTCGAACCGCACAAGGATTATGTTTTACAGCACGTTTTACGCGATGAGAAGCGATGATTTCTCGTCGCTGTGTGGACCTGTGATCGACGATGTTAAGCTCCTCGGCGTTCGTAAGCCATAAGAGATGGTTCATTGTTTTATTTTAAAGGTTCTTATTTCTAAGTATTATAAGGCAGTGTGGGTTTTTATAAATATAGAATTTTCTTTATCTCTAGTGCTTTTGAAATGAGATGAGAGGAATACTGAAAGGGTGTTGTCGTGTAGGGTTTTAAAGAAGGCAAAAGAGGTCTTGCTTATAACTATTTTCTATGTATGAGAAGGCTAAACAAGTGTTGTCTTTTTCTACTATATTGGGTTCTTTTAAGGAGATTGGGTGATTATGAGAATAAAAGTGTAATACAGATTATATATGATAGAAATGAATGAGGATAAGAATTTGCCTATTCCAATGTAGCTTCAGGTGATTATTAGTTGATTGTGTACACCCGATTTGTTTTCGGATCAACTCTTTTAGATCACTTTGAAATCAATGTTAGTAGCTGAAGCAGTGTCCCAAATTTTAAAACTAAAAGTTAAAACCTACAAGATTGAACACCAAGACTAATGTTTTGATATGCTTAAGCTTTGTGAGCTGGAGGCGGGCGGTTGCATTTTTGAGTATCTTTTTGTAACACCATAAAACGCAGCGTTTTGAGCGAAGTTGCTTTGAAGATATTAAATTTCTTCTTTGAGACGAGATAAATGCTTTTTTATTAAATACATCACGGCATTAATATTGGAGGATTTTTAATTGTATCTTAAAAATATTGTAGTATTAAAATTAAAAATTTAAGAAGTAAAATTATTTTAGATATGATTTTGTATCTTGTATAAGATACTTCTTTACTCATTAAACCACTTTTTACATTTAATTTAATTACAAATTAATCTAAAAAATCTCTAAGATTACGATAGCCTCAAGGCTCAAGCTGAGAGGTCGTGATTTGTAACAGGTTTTTTTATCCCTACAGAGAAAAAGGTTTTTTTCATTATGATCCAACACTTTTAACCTAAGCCCAATAGCCCAATATGTGGAATCCACGTCGAGCACACAGTTTCCTTTTTATCACAAAGCAAGAAGAGAGAGAGCTTCAGAATCATCACAAAACGCTCATCCGTCTCATCCGGATTGGTTCACCTCCTCCCTCTCCTAGGGTTTCTTCTTCTTTCTGCTCCCTTGCGTTCCGCTGAATCTCTGCATCTACAAGCTCCGGTGAATACGAGGCCGAGGCGATTATATTGCTCAAACTTATATTCAGGTATGTATCTGTGTTCGCCATTATCCTCGAGATGCGTCAATATATGTTTTCTCTTTTTAGGGTTGAAATCTCTTTGTGGATCTATGGTCTTTGCTTCGATACGTCTAGATGAATTTCTCAAATTTTTAATTAATTCGATCTTCTTTATCCTTGTAATTTGTGTTATAGCTCATCTCCTATGCTACTTAGTTTCTTTGAGAATTTTCACGTTTTTTCATCCCTTTCGATTTCGATTTTGTTGTTTCGGTTGTCTAATTGAGATATCGGTTTTTTGTGCCTCCACATTCTAATGAGCAGATTGGAGCAGATGCGTTATTTCTGTAATTTTGACTCTCTTTTTTCTTTCTGCTTACCTCGCAGCTGTTGAGCTGAATGTTCAAGTCATCTTGAGCCTCGCTCTTTGGATTCAGTTTTAAAGAAACGACATTTGATGGAAATGGCAGACTTAAACGGGTCCATGCAGCTAGCAGCAAAGCGGAAGTCACCACCTGAGACCATGCTTGGTGGTTCCGCATCCGAGCAGAATAGACCATGGTTACAGCAACTGTCTCCAGCAAGCAATGGGATTCTGCATATTCCGACTAATATGCTTTCTCAAAAGACACTACATTCCCTGATGCATGGCAAGAAAGTGATGCAAATCGATCCCCCTCTCCAGAAATCTGTAAAGCCTCTTGTAAACAAGAAACAGCAAATCCCACCTCGAGGCTCTGTGAAAGCCAAGGATGAAGTCAATGAGTCTGTGAGGTCTAAAATGAGGGAGTCATTAGCATCTGGCTTGGCCTTGGTTCATCAACATGATGAATTCCCAAACGGGAAAGAGAATTTAAAGACCGAAGAAATTCCTGCAATGACTCAGGAGAATACTCAAAGTTTTAAGCCTGCTTCATCTGCTAGCATCAATGTCCCTATTGGCGAAGGGACCGTCTCAGAACTGCCCACCGGTATTGAAAGTTCTGTGCAGAAGGACTGTGAGATTCCTGTCGACATCAGTATGGAAGATGTTAATCAATCTGATGAACTTAAGTCTCAATATGATGAGGTTTTCCCTCGGGATAATGTTCCTTTTACAGATATTATTTTTCCAAACGATGACCTTTTACATGGTAATGAACTCTCATGGGTTCTGGAAAATGTTTCAGATCTTGGCGAGACAAAGGATTTTGGAACCGGTGGTGAAAAATCTTTTCAGGATCCAAATGTTTTGGCATCTAAAATTGAAATGGAACTGTATAAGCTATTTGGAGGTGTGAACAAAAAGTATAGAGAGAGGGGAAGGTCCCTCTTATTCAATTTGAAGGATAAGAACAATCCTGAGCTAAGAGAAAGAGTTATGTCTGAAGAAATATCTGCTGAGAGGTTGTGTTCTATGACAGCCGAAGAATTGGCTTCCAAAGAGCTTTCTCAGTGGCGTCAAGCCAAAGCTGAAGAGATGGCAGAAATGGTTGTCCTGCGGGATACAGATATTGATGTCAGAAGTCTGGTGAGGAAAACACATAAGGGAGAATTCCAGGTTGAAATTGACCCAGTTGAACGTGGCACCGTAGATGTCTCTGGTGGCATCATGTCACGTAGCAAGCGCCGACCCAGAGCCAAATCTGATTCTGTTAAAACAACTCTCAAAGATGAGCCAGCAAAAGCTGATGGTGAAAAAGAACTCGCAACCCCTCCCTCAACTGAAGAGATCGATCCCATGCAAGGTTTGGGGATAGATGATGAATTGAAGGACGTGGAGTTTCTTCCTCCAATTGTATCACTTGATGAATTCATGGAATCCCTAGACTCTGAGCCTCCATTTGAAAGTCCGCATGGTAATTCTGAAATGCAGGTGTCTTTGTCTGAGAAAAGTGATTCCGAAGCTAGGACAGACTCAAAATCTCCTGTAGGATCTCCTAAAGAACCAAGTAATAAAAATCTGCCTGAATCAAAACCTGAAAAGATTGATGAAGCGTCCCCAAAGCTTGATGCCAATGTCAAAGTTGATGACGATGTCTCTAGACTTGAGAAAACATCTGCACTTAGTGTTGTTAAGGAAGAAAGAGCATGGGATGGAATACTGCAACTGAGTATGTCTTCTGTAGTCCCTGTCACTGGCATATTCAAAAGGTAAGTTCTTACCAACTAACCTAATATCTCACTACCATTAGATTTTTGTGATATTGTTACCTTTGGGCAAAGAAAGTTTCTTATCTAATGACAATAGTATAAAACTAAACTGTTGCTTGAATTGGAATTGTGTTAGCGATCAATCTCTTTTCTGATTCAACTTGAGTGGTATTTGAATAAGCTTTAAGAATATATCTTTGGTAGATTAATTTAATCATCAGCAAGCTGGGTAGTGCGTAGGGATGATAAATAAGAGATGCATCAGGTGATTAAGGGGATCAAGTATTCTGAATAGAGTAGGGGCTGCTCTCAAGGCCACCGTAGGTTTAAGGTCTCAGTTTACCATGGTAGTTTTAGAATCTTTTTGTTTGTTCCAATTTGTTTAATATGTTAATTTAGTAGAGTCATGACATTTGTTTTCTGCTGACATTTGTTTTCTGCTGACATTTGATTTCATTGGTTTAACCATAAAAATTTGAAGTGAAAAAGGATGTAAGCATTCTCTAACTGGGTTTTCATATGGCAGTGGTGAGAAAGCAGAGACGAGCGAGTGGCCGGCGATGGTGGAAGTTAAGGGTAGAGTTAGGCTGAGTGGGTTTGGGAAGTTTATTCAAGAGCTTCCTAAGTCTCGAACCCGTGCCCTAATGGTATACAAAGCTTTCTTTTGTTATCACTGTAGTAGCATTACATTGAATAATCTCTTGCTTTATACAGCAGTAGGAGTAACCCTTTTATATAGAATCTTTAACCGTCTCACTTTGTCTCATCTCAAAACTCTTCTGTCTTCTCTTCATGGAATCCAGAAAGCAAAGAGATTACAGTTAAACTCTTCACATGTACGCGTGACTGGAATGGGACACGTTTTATGCAGAGAACTAACTATGGATTGGGTCAAACTTTGTATTAAATTCATCCAAAAAATTGGATCCCAAATCAGTTGTTTTAAGTCTCTGTATGTGAGTTCTGTGTTTGTGTGGGGGGACGTACGTAGAATAATCAGGAAATCTTGCAAAGAATTTTTTGACCCCACACGCAAACATATTCGATTAATTTTCGGAAAAGTTTACCTTTTTTTTCCTTCGAGACCCAAAACCCAAAGCACATATACTCACAATTCATACGTGAAAGAAGAAAGAAGGAAACCTATAATTATTTATTCTTTTTGGGTCAATTACTGTGAGGTATATGTTTTCTGACTAGGGTTACTTACAGATTTTTCTTCTGGCATTGCAGGTAATGTACTTGGCTTGTAAAGACGGCATTTCTGAGAGCCAGCGTGGCAGCCTTTTTGAGGTAAAGAAAATATATCTTCAATTTTCAAAAATTTCTCCAACATGTTCTCTTGTACCATCAACACATGTCTTTTAAAAGTCTCACCTATTCTTCCTTTTTTCTTTTCTTTTAAGGTTATTGATTCCTACGTTGCTGATCAGAGAGTTGGCTACGCAGAGCCAGCCTCAGGAGTGGAGCTCTACCTTTGCCCAACTCGCGGAGAGTCTCTAGATTTGCTTAACAAAGTCATCTCTCAAGATCAGCTTGATGAGGTCAAGTCTTTGGATACTGGATTGGTTGGAGTTGTTGTGTGGAGACGAGCCGTCATTCCCAAGCCAAGTTCCGGTTCAAGGCGTCAGTATTCTTCTTCTTCTGGTTCGAAAACCTCTGTTTTGCCCCTAAACAAGAAGCAGAGAGTCAATGTCACAGAGAAGCCTCTTGTTGTTCCATCGATGAGGAACCATCATCATGGTTATGGAGGTGAAGCTGCAAGACATGATGTTGCTGCTGATGATGATGATCTGCCGCCTGGATTTGGTCCTGTATCTTCAAGAGACGATGATGATTTACCGGAATTTAACTTCAATTCCTCGGTTGTGCCAGTTTCTTCACCTAAGCCATTACCGGCTCAATCGAAGTCTTTGGATCAAGTAAGAAAGCTCATACACAAGTATGGAAAATCTGCAAGCATCTATGATGACGACGACGACGACATACCTGAATGGCAGCCACATGTCCCTAGCCACCAGCTTCCACCGCCGCCGCCTCCTCCTCCCGGCTTCAGACCCGAGATATTAAGACCGCCTCAAGATGGTTGGTGGGATAATCAAAATGGCGGCTCAGGGCAACACTATGATGGGAACCAGTCAAGAAACAGAGGATTTTAATATCTCTGTTGATATCGTTCTCTGTAATTGTAGTTTTTTGGTTTCCTAGTCTCCTTTTAGCTTTTCTTATTCGAAAACTCTTAAAATCATTTTGGGTTTGTAGCCATCGTAGAATGCAAAGTTTAAAGTCCCAAATAAAACCTTTTCTTAGTTTTCCCTCAAAAACCAAATCAGCTTTCCTCTGCTTTTAACACACAAATGATTTTAAGATATGTTCATGATCTTACAGACAGAAATCATGATCCCTACAACTTGTTAATAGGAAGAAACTATAAACGAATAATTGTCTGAGTTACTCTTGGCTCAATACTTGTTATAACATGTTTGATTGTGGAATTCTCCTCAAATATCAATCTTGTTTGAACAGCAAACTTAATCCAGAGATTCTCACACTTCTCTTGAGCAAATCATTTGGTTCTTCATCTATGCTAACTCAGCTAGTAACTGATACACTTGCTCGTTTCTTTGAATCTTGAAACGTGATTTTAGTTAACTCTAATCTATCCAGGTTTCACCGCAATAGACAAAATTCCGGTCTCTTGCGGTTTTCGGCATTTCAAAAACACATGTATCACCATGAAAAACTTTTAAAAGGTTATTAGAATGAGGCTAAATTAATGCTGTGAAGCTTTCTTACTAATAAGTAAAAACTGTCCTAGAGTTAAGTTTACAAGATGACTACATATCTCTTCACAGGTCATTAACAAATCAAGTGACAGAGAAAATAACACTACTGTATATCAACATAAACATATATATTATTCATAGGATAATCCAATCCACAGACGGAGCTGCAAGACTAATCTAATCTGTCCAACAACATATACCACTCAGATTTGAACTTCCAAAACTATACATTTTCCCACCACTCACATATTATGGGTATCATCAAACTTCATTCATACCATACCCCATTTCTTACATATCATCAGCTTCATTGATACCATACCCCCCTCATTACTGTACTTATTATGGGTATGCAAACCAAATAAGAAAAAAAAAAAACAAAAGATTCATCCAGATCAGGCCGATACAGGTGCATTGGGGATAACCGATGATGACGATGCAGCTACTTCAGAAGCTTTTGAGGTTGAAGGCCCTGATTCAGAGATATCCCCAATGGCAATATCAAGGGTCTCTGGGAGGGTTTCTTGAGACTCAGTGCTGTATATCTATATAGAAAGGGTAATCAAAATCATCTCTTAAGATCATCACATCAAACAAAAAGAAATGCGGATTAAGAGATTCAACATCCTATGCGCCAAAATGTGACAAACTATGATAATGTTTACCTCAAGCTGATTCAGCATCTCAATGGTTGCTTCTAGATCACCGCTATTGGCGAGGTAGACATCAGTGATAGACTCTTGTGAGAGACCAGAGAATGTCACTAGGAGGTACTCAATATCCATGTCTATATCCATCTCCATGTCCAAATCATCATCCCTGATCTGCTTGTATGCCATTTCAGAGGATTTCTTCGGCATTGACACTTCAACCCCTGAGAAACTCGCAGGGGCCATGGCAAACACCAGACCATCGTCACCACCACAATCCACTCTTTTGGATAGTGGTACATATGATGCTGCATGCGGATTCAATGCAAATGCTCCAGGCTTCATTGCTTTATCTTTGCTAATACTGCCACAAAATTTGAATCGTAAGAGCCATTATAATAGCAAAGATGTCTTATGCTGCAAGAATCAAACAGTCTCAAATTTTGTGTAACGAGGCTATAATGATTGAAGACATGAAAAATATAGAAATGGTGTGTATAGACGTTACATTAGAATCTTGCGTTACTGCTTGAACCAAAATATATGTCGGAAAAATACAGAACCAGAGCAAAAACAAAGAGTCTCGACAAAGAAAGAAATGAAGCGAAGAAGAGTGATTTATATGCAGGATCAAAAAGGTGTTGTTACATGTTGACCTCGTCAACGATCTACGTGAAAGGAGAAGAAGAAACGAAACATCAGGGGAGAGAATATGAGCTTACCAGACAAAAACTAGCGTTAAAGAATTGCACAGACATACCTCTTAATATGCGATTAATGTGGTAAATTTATTATATCGTAACGCTAATTATATGATGAAGATTAAGGCCTAGAGTCACGGTTTGATCTGTTTTGACACACGATTATCTTTATCCTTGATCGGGATAGTGGCTAAATCTTTTATACGTGACGACGACCAATACTGGGACACAAACCGGAAATAAAGTATTCGAATTGAAATCAATTTGGTTTAGTAATACCGATTTGAGAGAACCAAAGGAGAGAAACCGGTTTTGAAAGTATCAAAAACAAAAAAAAGGGAGTGAATGGATGAGCTTAAGGAAGAAGAAGAAGAAGCTCCAGAAACACGCCATAGCCATGGCTCTTCTCTGTCCATCTTTTCCCTCTCCGAATTGTCGTATTTTCAGGTAACTTATCTTCTCTGGCGTACGTGTACTCGCTCTCGCTCCAGTGCTTTTGTGTGTTTTCTTTCGTCGAAAGCTTTTGTGATTTTTGATGAGATTGTGAATTCAGGTGCAGAAGCAGCAACATTTCGAGTAAGTATCACAAGGAGCTGATGATTGCTCGCTCTGGTGTTTCTAAGAGATCGATTTCAGTGGGAGAAGGGCTTTCGCGTAGGGATTTGGTGTTGATTGGTCTCTCTTCTCCTTTGTCTATGCTCTTGCCTCTATCATCTCCTGGTAATGGTTTTGCTCCTGTTGTTCATCTTTTACTATCCTTATAAATTTTATTAGATAGTGTCACTTCTACCTAAAAATATTGGCTTTCATTTACAAATAGAGAGAAGGAGTAGAGTTGAGAATCTCTTACAGTGTTTAAGCCATTAATGCTCATGTAACTCATCTTCTAATGTGTTCATTTTCCTGCAACGTTTGGGGGGTTTCTGTTATTGCAGTCACTCATGCAGAAGAAGAACTGAAAATGGGTGCAGAAGAACTGAAAGTGGGTTCAATGGTGGATGATATTAATGCTTATTCTTATGCTTACCCACTGGAGCTTCCATCTGAAAAGCTTGCCTTCAAATGGTATTGACTGAAACTTTTAATGTGATGCCTTATTATTAGTTCAAGATGTATCTGACTCTTTACATTGATTATGCAGGGTCGAATCGAGAAAGCCTGAGCGGTACTCTTCAGCTGCACCACTCTCTCGTAAGTTTGATATGATTCCTTTTGATTCCATGAATTCTGGATGCTTATGAAAATATCCTCTGCTGTATAACGTTATCATAAGCATTATCAAGTTGTGACTGAATCTCTTTCAACCGGTCCAGCTGATGCACGTCTACGCATTGTTTCTGAACGAGTTGACCTCATCGACAACCTTGTAATTTCTGTTTCGGTAAGTTCTGGTGTTTCTCACTTACCGTAAGACTGCTCTTCCTTGTTAGCTTTTTGCGATATGTCTTTTACGGTTCTTGATCCAGATAGGTCCCCCAAACTCGAGATTAACATCAAAAGAAAAGAAGACATGGGGAGCTAAGGAAGTTGCTGACTCTGTTTTGTCTGATAAATCGGCATTGGTAACCTTTCTATCATCAATAGCATCACAATATCGATTTCTTCTTTTCTCAAATGTTAAACATATGTTCAAATGTTCAGCGAGTCACCTCAAGTCAGCGTCTCGAAGAAAGCTCGGTTCTTGATGCACATGCTGGTGATGTTAGTATGATCTTCCATAACAAATTATATAACAAAGTAAAAAACTTCTATCTACAGAACTCATAAGCCCCATATGCTTTTTATATCCAGATTGATGGGGAGCCGTACTGGTACTATGAGTACCTTGTTCGCAAATCACCAACTAAAATTGTAACTCTCTCTATTACTCTGAGGATTCTTCTTTGATTAAAGACATAATGGGTTTGATAATGATAAGACTTATTGGCTTTGCTATATGTGGGCAGGCTGAAGCATCAAAGCTTTACAGACACTATATCTCCTCAACAGCTGAACGTGATGGTAAACAACTTTTCACAAGGGAATTAATTGAGATGCAAAGTTTAGAGTTTGTTTAACCTATAATAACATTTACCTGAATCTCACTCATTGCAGGGTACTTATACACCATAAACGCTTCAACCCTTGGCAAGCAATGGGACAAGGTACAAACTTGTCTCCTCTACTTTCTGTATATTCTATTGTGTCAGTGTGAAGATGTCTGATTTTAAAGGTTGTATAAAATGCAGATGGGACCGGTGTTAGAAAGAACAGTAGGATCCTTTAGGCTTCTTCCTCCTACTGATAGTTATGTTCCTCCATACAAGGATCCATGGAGGTTTTGGTGATGCTTCCATCTACCTCAGCTTTCCATGAAAAATGCTTTTTCGAAATCGTGTTAATTTTGATAGGAGAGGTTATGAAAGTTGTCGTGAGAGAAATGAGTTGAGCAGATGTAATTGTTATATTGTTCACAATCAAATGTAATGAGTGGGAGATATATATAATATATACATTACTTGCATTCCTCTTCTAAACTCATCCAACTGGTATCCAAGGAATGTTCTTTGAAATAAGAATAAACTAATATCAAAATCAGATATATTACTATATGATATACACAATAGAGAGAATAAATGGTAGAGAAACCTTCTTCATAGATGTCCCTCCTTTCATGGGAGGGACTTATTATTACATTGACCTCTGTATCTTTGGATTTTCAGGGTAGCATAAAAAATGAACAAATGAAAAAGAGAGAACCGGAGGGGAGCCACATAAACCGGCTTCTACCCTCCTCTTATATAAATTAAGATTATCATATCTGAATAAATGAACCATAATTATAAATATCCAGAACAATAGCCATAAGGCCAATCAATCACCCACCATAACCATGAAAGATGAGACCAAAAGTATTTTTTTTTTTTTTTGTTAGGTAGCAGAAGCACAAGCAATATACAAAAACGATCATCCATGGCCGCCTCGGTTTAAAGAAACCAACAGCTCTTTTTCTTGAACAGATGATCAGCTCAAGCTTCTGCTTTTCCTCTTTTCTTGGACTCAAATCGATCATGGAAATTGTGGGCGTATAATAGGAGTCAGCCCACGGTGAAGAACACACCATTACTCTTCTTCTTAGACATGTCATTGTCTGAAGATGAGACAGACTTGATTGCTTCTTCATCTTCCATTTCCTCATCCCGATATACCTCCTCTGCACGACACTCACTACTGCAGAACGCTTTGTATCCTCTGAAAACAAAAACCAGGACATTGTCATATAACAAGACAGTTTCAAATGTTTGCGAAAGGCTTAACTTGAACCATAGGACTAAAGCTATGCACTTTAGATAACTAACTACAGTAAAGAATCTAACTTTCCATTTCTAAGTGCACACTAGTGCAAAGGAGCAACTCTAAGGTTCATTAGAGTTGAAGAAACAGAAGAAGAATACCTGTACATGTATATCTCTTTCCCCAAACCCAACTTCTTGTTACAGCCGTAGCAGAAGCTCAAGAAGTCATTGAGAGGTAACACATCAATAGGTGTTGTCAAGTCGGGAGGAGCAATTGCAAAAATGCTCTCTTTCTTGTTTCTACAACAACTGTTCTTCAACTCATTGTGCTCTACAGACTCCATAACCTGATCCCCGTAAAAATGGGTGGTTTTGGGGTTAGGACCATGTTGAATTACACAAGTGTAGTCCTCTGAGATCTCAATGTCACTTTCAGTACGCTCATTAAGTGATCCTGGGGCTTCCTTAATCACCTGACAAGCATTATTGTTCACACTGGAGTTCCCAGCACCCAAACAGTAAGCAGCATCTACCGAGCCAGATTTTCGGAGCTCAACAACATCAATCACATCATGTGCAATCTCAAAAACAACATTGGGCAAATCATTCTTGGGTAACAAAGCTTTGGCAAAGGGTTGAGAGAGTAGCTGAGGTTTCTGGGGGTTTCCGGTTCTCATCAAGGACCCAAAGATTATGTTTTTACTATCCGGTGATGGTAAAACAATCCTTGATGAATCAGAGTGATGGTCATCATCAAGAGAATGCAAAATGCTCAAGCCAACTTTACCAGAATCCCAGCTCTTTTGTTTCCCTTTCCAGATTGACCTGGAAGAAGAACCACCAAAGGGATTCCCTAAACCCGAGAACAATCTAAAATCCAAAGGAGAAGTTGGGCTCCAAGCTGAGTCATAATCAGATGGACACTTTCCTTCAAAGACACCAGAGATGAGTTTGTGGCTCTTAATCCCTGACAACACCGGTTTTGTTGAAAAGTAATCGAAAGCAGTGGCCATTTGATAGTTGGAATGCTGAGACATGGTTGATCTGTGACCTCAAAACCTAAAAACAATAGGCAAATGTCAGCTTAAGCAATGATCGAAGGTCCATGGCACTGAACAAAGGAAACGCTGTCTATATTGATCAATCTCACAAGAGTTTAGTAACTCACAATGTAGTAAAAAAAGCAAACTTTGATATTTCAATAAGGAAAGCAACAATCTTTGGAACCCAAATGAGGAAAAATGCAAAAGGGAAAGATCAAAGGAATCGTCAATACAAAGTAAAGGATCATCAAATCATCAGACAGTGGCCAGACTCAGAGATTACTTAAACGTAAAAACCAAGAAAAGCAGAAAAGGAATTACAAAAAAAAAAAAAAAAAAAAAAAAAAAAAAAAAATTCATACAGACTTGTAAAATCGATTAGAAGTTGAAATCTGTGAAATTTTAAAGGATATGAATGATTCAAAGTAGAAGAAATTGAAAGGAACAAACAAAAAAAAGAGACCTGGGTTTTACGGGACTTGTTGATGAAGCTGAAGAAGAAGAAGATTGAAGAAGAAGCAAAAAATTGCAGAGAAATAAGGCAATGGGAAGTCTTCGTCTATATCTGTGCAAGTCTTGTGAGGTACTCTTCTCTCTCTCTCCTCAAAATCAGCGTAACAGTGAGCTTCACAGTCTCTCTCTCTCTCTCTCTCTCTATCGGATTCACGTTTTAAGTTCTCTCTGAAATGTAAGTAGTGTAGGGTCTTTTAGAAAAAACAATTTACCTTTCTTGACATATTTAATTTGCATTAAACATAAAACGAAATTTTGTAATAAAAGATTTTTAAATAGTGGACGATTTTATTTATATAAATTAGCTGGAAAAATGGCTGCAAGTGTGACAGAATAAAAATGATAGCACTTCTCTGACGAAAATTCTTCACTCTTTAGCTGTTTTGGTTAATTGATTTCGTTGGCTTTCAAAAAAAAAAAAGTCTTGTGTATTGTTTACATGAATATTAAGAATGATGAAAAATAAAATATTTAAAACTTTATATCTTTACACTTAATTTGAATTATTCAATTAATTATTTCTATACAAAAATTAATTGTGTTGCTATATTTACCATCGGTTTGACCAAAAGAGAAATATTACAATCATTTCATTAACTAAATATTTCTATAATCGATTGTTATAATTTTCAAAAATTATACTCTTTTAATAATTTTCATACATCACGACAAAAAGTAAATAAATATAAATTTAAAATACATTATAATTTAGTAAAGATCGATAAAAATTAATTTATTTTATAATAATTTATTATCGATCTAAGAAAATGAATCTACGATCAATTTATTAGTCAAACATATTTAAATCCATTGCCATAATTGGTATTTATCTTTAATTTGTATAAACTTCACGACAAAATATCAATCTAGATTAAAAGTACACGTGAAATTTCTATAAAGAGATAAAGTTTTAAAAAAATTATTAACGTTATGCATCAATGGAAAAATATCAAAATTAAACTAAACTTTTTTAGTTTTTTACGCTTTGCAATTAATAATTTAAATTAAATAAAATTGATAATTACCTAGTGGGAAAACATTGTAAATATAACATTTAAATTCTGTATTTTAAAATTTTATTACTTAAGTTTCCTCCTTATATGTATTTATATACAACTATGAGTCTATGAATCTTAATGAAACTGTGAAAATAAGTCTAATTTTTGCTGTATTTTTCTGTAAGTATATCGATCACGTGGTTAAAATTTTCCATAAATGTGTGATTATTTTGTCAATTTATTTTGTAATCATTTTCTTAGTTAAAAATTAAAAATATGTGATATCATGTAGACATTAGAGTGTAAATTTCTAATTATACTTTTCACAACATACATTATTATAAATCCAGTACATGTCAAGTTTTTGCATACTACTTTATAAAAAAATTGCAGAGTAACTTCTCAATTTTTATATAAAAATAAAAAACTTGATTACCTTTTAAAATTAGTATATTTTCTTTTTGTGAAAAATAACATTCTCCTTTTGTACGCACCCTATGCGTCACCTTTCCTTTTTTTGTTGAAGGGCCCTTATATGCATCACTTTCATCTGTTCATAAATAAATTATATAATAATAAATATTATTAATCATTCAAATTCCATAAACTCAGGTAAAGAAAGATGTGACATATAAACTATATTTAGAGAAAAAAAATAAAAGTGAAATAGGGATGAGAGATAAAATGAAAAGAAACCTAATTTATTTATTTTTTTGGAAAAAAGAAGAGAAGAAACTTAATTGGTAAATAGGTTTTCTTGAGTTAATTCATTATCAAATGCTTAGTTCTTGAGTATTTTTTTTCTTTTTCTTTTGAGTAAATTGTGTGTCTTAATAACACTGAATAGTGGTTAATAATTATGTAACACGTATAATGTACTCTCTCTCTCTATATATATCTATCTTCGAAAGTCCCAGTTATATGTCGACATTATATAATTATTAAGGTGTGTCAGAATGTACAAAGAAATTACAGTTCGGTTTAAATACCAATATATATATATATATATATAAATACAATAAAGAATCCCTTACAGAGCAATTATATATATTTGTGTCCTTGTTACTCCTGTGGTCTCTCTACTTTTGCTTTTACATTATGTCATACCTTATAAATTATATTTGCTATCTTTCTTTTACTTCCTGAGACTGTCACTATTTATATATTTAAAATTACCCTATGTAATAAATATTTACTTGTACAAATACTACTTTTTATATATATACAAATAGCTACAAATAATTACTTGTACAAATACAATTTTTTTTTTAATAAACAAATACAGCTACAAATACTATTCTAGTGGCAACTTCTCATGTCAAAGTCACGCAATGCGTAATTTCGTAGTATCTCAAGTATACGAAACATAAGGTCTGTAGATTATGTGGTAAAAAGTAAAGAAAGCATTTTGTAGGATGAAGAACTAATAGTTTATAGTGGGGTCTAGAATCCAATCCAGTAATATCGAAACAAGGTGCAGTTCGGACTTGGGATCAAAAAAAATCTGTTGTTTCAAAGAAAAACAAAACTGGGACATGGCCTTTTTGATCCATATATATGATCTACCCTACGTACCAAAAACATTGTATTGTTGCTTTCATCTGGTTTACTAACCGCAACAAAAAAAGGAAAATATGATATGCGAAACATATAACTTAATAACATTTCATTTAGGTTAGACCAATCATTACAGGCGAAAACTGATACAAATAATTTTATTCTTGTAACATCAAATGTAATATATAATATTACATTTAGAAAGTAGTGTAGGAAAAGAAAAGAAGAAGAAAAGGAGAAAAAACCTGAAACACGTTGACTAGTGACGGGGGTCTGGTCTGCAAAGGAAACGGGGTCACATTAAGCGGATGGGTTTAGCTTTTTTTCTCTCACTCTCTCTGCTAATCAATAAGACCAAACCCCTTTTTAGTCAATCCCCCGCGTCTGTCTGCGTGGAACTCTCTTTATACGACATGTGGACACAAGTCACCACCTTGACCTTTTACCTACCACCACTGTTACCATAGTTAAACCGTGAACTCACATCTTTTAGCCATCATTTATTTACTTTTTTTTTTTTTTTTTTTCCTTTTACTTACTTATATTTGTCGTTTTCTGCTGACTCAGATGTCTCCTTCTCTTTACACATTGCGTGAAGACACGTGTTTCTCCGCACGTGCGAGGGACTTTACTCTTTTATACGTTGCGTTTTGTGTTTTGTTGTTTTTATTTAATTTCTTTTTATACGCCTTCCCCAAAAATTCCTTTTGCTGTATTTTATTACAAACACTAAATTATAGATAGGGTTACGAGAGTTTTTTAAAACTATAGACTAGCATATTTTCGTGTGAAGGTGAGTCTGATCATTCCTAACTATTTTTATTAGTATAAACTTTTCTCATTTTTGGATTGATTGTAATTAAGGATGATTATTATTATTATTAGCAATTATGTACGTTCTTTTCAGGTTGCTAGAAAAATATTCGACAAGGAGAACGTCGTGGAGAATTTAGGTTCATGTGATGTGTTGTCGGTCATTAACCCTTTTCACCACAAACAAAAATATACATTAACCCTTCTCGTTTCCTTTCATATCACTTTTATCTTTTCTTTCATATCACTTTTTTCATTCCATTATATCAACAATATACATATATTTACTAATAGTTTGCTTAAAAGAGGCTGACAGTGTAATTCTATTTGCACCTTAAAAACTCTTTTAACAGTTTATTTTATTCTAAACAACAATGTGATTGAAGTCAACGAATTAATTATTCGATCCCTTCGAATATAATAAGCTAAAAATATAGCTTACAAAAATATAAGAACATGTCAATGATAAACTATTGAGATTAGCATAGCACTTTCTTTACAACACAGTATTATTATCTCTATTTCTGAGTCAAGAAAAAGACATACGCCGTACGTAATAAACTAATAATAATACTACTACAGTACTTAAATATTGCAAAAAGGAAAGAAAAGAAAAACGAATTTTGTTTTAATACTTTTTCAGATAGCCCCACTAAGGGAGCTAGTAAGGCCCACATTCAAGTGGGATAGAAGGAGTCGAAACTCTTTTTTTCAGAGCTCAAAACTCAAATGGTCATTTAACAACTTGTTTGTTTGCGTCCAAAAAAATAAGAAAAGAACTTGTGTAAAACCCCTACTAGTCACAGAGAAAATGGATTCTACAAGTCACACAATAACTCTCTTGAACCTTTTCTGATCAACAAAAAAGACTTTAGTAGCGTTTCATGGAAGAAAGTGACCTTCAAAAGAATATTTATTTACAAAAGGGTCATCCGATTGAGACCAGAAGCCGCATCAGTAAGTTCTTCCTAAACCTAAACACACAAAAAAAAAGCAAGAAAGAAAGAGCGCAATTGGACACTACGAATCTGCAAATTTTGATTTGAATAACATCAAGAAATATGTATATCTATATAAAGAAACCAGATGTTTACCGAGTACAAGTTGGTGTCTTCGATGCCATGAAATTTGTTAGTACGATTCCACAAAATTTTTAGTGACCGTCTTTAGAGGCCAAAAGAGTGCTTGTGTTCTTCCTCCTAATCTACAGTTGGTGATATTTCTGTCTGAAACAAAATAAAGGTAAGTGATAATTTGATTTTTGTTTTTTACCTGATAGACATGTTCCTTGAGGGGGACAAGAGTTTATACTTACACGAGAAAGACTCAAATTCTGAAACTAAGCAAGTTTAGGCTTGAAGTTAATCCGCAGCGCCTTAATCTCCTCCAATTGCCGCTACAAGGGTTAAAAGATTCATTTAGTCTGGAGTTGAAGATACACATTGATATTTGTTAATGAATATACCAAAAAGAAAAAGAAAAAATGTCCCGATCTGATTTCACATTAGTTTCTTCAATAAGTTGAAGATATAAATAACCTAAACTTGTTTATGGTGGGACTGGGACAGCGTATATATAAGTTCAGCCGTTACGGTGCTGTGACCAATGAATAACCTTTTAAAGGATTTTGGTTTCTTTTCCTCGTGGAAGAAAATACACTTTTTTCAAACAGAGACTCAAATTTTCAGTCAAAATAGAGGCAGTAATTGTCTATAAAATCCAATACCTTAGATACACTTTCAGACGCCTGCTCATGTCTAGCTTGGTGCAAGCACCATTCCATGGCCATGTCAAATTCAAGGTTGTTCGGCTGAGAACAGTGTGATGTAGCCACGGCATCTCTCTGGAAAAACATATAAAAACCAACGAGCAAGAACATTGGGAAAAGAACTATGCATTTTTACTAGTGTGTTTCTGTGCAAGGGAAAGGGAGATGAAAACAACACCATCTCTCGTCGCGTTTGAGTTTTGTGTAGTTTAATATGGCCGGAGAATGCTGGCGGCTTCCCTAGTGGAGTAATCTTTGCAAAAGAAGCAACAAGGGACCTGTTGAGGAAATAAGGCACATAACAGATATTTGAGATGAAAGTATGCCAATAAATGGCACAAGACAGATTTCCGCAATAAATCATAGGAAGCTTAAAGAAAACTCGTAATATGTTATGCAAGGTTTACCTCCCATTTGATAGCAACAAGCATCCCTCATCTAGTTTTCTAATCACCCTTTCTGCTTCTTCTCTTGTTTTAAAAATGACCAAAGCTTCACCTGTATATCAAACAATATGAGATGCCATAGTAAAGCTCCTCATTCCATTTCTAGTATGTGAGAACCATAGATTAAAAGCCTTGTAAGTCAAATGGTAGCTTACCAATATGAGGAATTGTGACCGATGTACGCTCTATCATCCTTGCTTCGCATTGCTCGTTCAAAGCAGAATAGACTATATCCTGAAATACAGTTCATAAATTGCTTAGACAACAGCATACACAGAGGGAAAAAGGGAGGTTTCCATGAAATACATCAGAAAACAACTGAATTACATAAGGTTACAACATACATATAAAGAGATTCCTAAATATACCTCCACTTCATCAGATGTATAAGTGGGATCCAAGTTTCGAAGAAGTACCACAGTCCCTTTTTTTTCTGCTTCCCTCATACTTTCTTCCCAAGGCTAGGCATGGTTTAGACAAATAAAGAGTCAGTCCAGAGGTGAACCCAATAGGTAATTTCTGAAACGGCGTACAGAATCTGATGAACATCCAGACAAGCTAGAAGAGTCTGAAATGGTCAGCCAAAAATAACAGGTGCGGACAAATAATAAACAATTTGAGTCATTAGCATATGAACAAGTCATTAGCAATTCACTATAAAAGGAATAACAGGTCACCCTACTAAAATCACACAGAACAAGCATGGTCAAAGACAAAAATGGAGGCAACCAAAAACAACCACTTACAGAACTGGCGTGAAACAAGAAGGGAAAAATACTTACAAGATTCCGAAACCATTTAATCTTTCCCTGAGATCAATAAGAAGGAAGCAAAAATCACGTTAGACGAACCTCAATGTTAACAAGAACCGTGGTAACATAGAATGTTGAGAAAAATGACAGAACAGAACTACAACTCTACAACATACATAGTGAAGGACAGTAAAACAAAACTGCTACTTTCAGAATTGAGTTCTTGTAAAACCACATCCTTTTACAAGACGCTCTCACTGAAATCTCATGAAACAGCCAGTTCCAAACCAAAGTAAACTAAATCGTATCGCAAGAATTACATAGTAAGAAATAAACTTACAGCCTCCGGCCTTCGGCTCACTTCAGTTACTTGATAATTTCTTTCATTATCATCTGCCAACATCTTGTCCTCAGCACGTCCAAAGCTGGATTTCTTGGATAAACCTTTTTCAGTTACAGTCTTTGTATATTTTTCTTCAGATACTGACACTCCCAGATCTCGCTTCTTAACAAAGCTGGGCTTCTGGGGAGGGACTTCAGCTATAGTCACTTTGTCTCGAGGTCTCTTAAAAGATGCTGTATCCTTTTTACCATCAGAAGTGATATGCTGCAAAATGGTTGTATTCCGTCCATCTGGAACTGTAACTGAACCATCTAATTTCTGTTTCTTCAGAGGCCTATGATCCAATCCATTCGACTCTTTACCATATCTTTCTTCAGCGGGCATAGATTTCTGTTTAGTCAACTGTTTTCTAACATCATTTACTTGAGCTTTCTTGGAAGTGGAATATATTATCCTGGAGCCAGAAGCTTCACAAGAGTTACTATATCTTGCTTTTGCAGGCATAGATTTTTGTTTAGTCAACTGTTTTTTAACTTCACTTTCTTGAGCTTTACCATCACAATGATTTCCCCTAGAGCCAGAATCCTTGCTAGACCTTTCTTCTGCAAGCGTAGATCTTTGTGTAGCCAGTTGATTACCTTTTTCTTTCTCTTGTTTGCAACCATTACTGCTTTCTTTACAGTCAGAAGATTCAAATAAGTTGTCTTCAATTTTCCTATCTGAACCACTAGCTAAAGGACCATTTGGTTTCAAACTATCTGAATTCCCATATACTTCAATTTTCTGCACAGCAGTTGCTTCTTTCTCACAACACGCTCTGTTAAAGATAAATTTCACTGCAAAAATTAAGAGTGAAAATAATATATGATGTAAATAAAGTATCAAGATAGCTATTGATAACATAGTAGATTGTCGAAGCTAGCAACTTAGATGAAACAAACTGTACCATCAACTCCAGCAATTTTATCATCTATCGTATCCACAACTTTGCAACTTCCGACATCAAATGCTCGACGAAACACGAAGTCGGCTGAATTGATTTCTTCATCCGAGGGTTGTGGGTTTCTTTTGTCCTTTGAAATGCATAGAACAGAGCATTTTCCACCGATTGCTTCCTAGTAGAAAAATGTTATATCAGTATTCAAGCAGGTGTAATTTACTAAGTAATCTCTTGCACCAGCTATGCGCACAATGACACAAAGTTAAAACGAACAAATCAACCAAAAAGTGAAGCAAAGGTAAATCTATCGAGATACAAGGACCTATTACATTCACCAACGAAACACATTTGTAACAATGATAGAAACTAACTGAGTAACTGATACACGTATTGCAGCTGGGGAATCTCAGATGAGAGAGCGGCTACATATACTACAGTAGCTTTTTGCTTTGGGGTGAAATCTATGCCAGGGTTACAAAAGACGCCAACTAAAGTTACTTGGAGCACATGTGTTGGTGAACAGATAACAAATTATGCTACTCCTAAAAACACAATATTCAACAAAACAAAAGCGGAAAGACACTAAAATTTGTATGCATATCAATAAAATAAAAACGCCAAACCATGCTCAACAAGTAATATGGAGAATAAAAATTCAACACAGTATGCAAAAGAATCATCAGTTACCAATTGGTTGATATTAGCAAGGCCGAGACCTTCCCCCGATCCCAAAAACAGTTCATTGGCAAGTGCATCTGGGACTTCTTCAAGATATGGCAAAATCTCCGACGGTTTAAAAAACCAGAGAAGCTTGACTTTCCTTGGGATATGCTTATTAGCGTGTTCCCAAATTTTAATGATCATGCCAATGAAGGGTTCAGTAGATTCTGGTTCACTGGCATTGCCAACTAAGACACAGTCATAAAGATGGTATTCATCGCCGTCATAGGTGAATGATTCATAGAACTGGACATCTTTCTTTTTCCCACCAACACTTTTTTTTTTACCCCACTTAAACTGTAAGCCTTCAGATCCGATTGATTCTTCCATTCTCTAAAACGCAGATTTCTACCTGTGACAAGCAACAGAATAGTACAAACAAATCAGAAATGCACGACTGATGCAAGGAAATGATTAGAAGACTGAACATGTATTCGCACACGTTAGAGTTCCAAACAGATGCAGTTTCTAGTAGAGTAAAATAGTTGCATCGATAAATTGAAAGATAACCAAGACCGACTCTCTTTACAAGGATAACCGAGAGTACCCTTGAACAAGGTGCAAAACTCTTCACGGGCATATTCAATACTATCACCAAGAGACACATAAAAGGAAAACACCATCATAAGATCGATCAAATCAATCAGTCTAATGATTCTCTCCTAAACACAATCAGATCTCAATAAATTATCCACCATATATTCCGATAAATTAACCCCAAAATCACTCCAGATTCCTTATCAAATCCCGTAGTAAAGAAGGCAACAAATTCATCTGTCAACTAAAATCATTAGCATTGTGCATAAAACCAAAAACCACCCAATACATGTGTCATAGCCAAAGCATAAGGAACTTATAAGTCCTCAGTACTGGTACTAATGTTTTTAGTAATAACAATACTCCCCAAAAGGAACAGGAACGCATGCAAGTCAAGAAAGGAAAATCAAAAGCAACAAGTAGGTTGATACACGAATGCTAATGATCTCGTCAGTGACTATGCTACTTTTTGTTTTCGATTCCAAGAAAGAAAAAGTAGCATAGTCAGTTCAAGTCAACAAAAAAGGTGATTACAAAAAAAATCAAACAAAACCACGCAATTGCAACCAAAAAAAAAAAAAAAGAGAGTGAAAGATTTATTCAATGCAATGTAGGCTGGGATAGGTTTCAGTGTTGATGAAAGAAGAGCGATTAACTGGGAAACAAAGAAGATGAAAGTCCATTTAACATTTGTTACCTTCACTGACGAGATCAGTTTACAGCTTCCGAAGCCACCGCGAACCAAAAAGAAAGAAGAAATTTCAGGAAACTGAAGCTTGAAATCAGAAGCAACGCGAGTTCGATTAGGTCAAGATGAACAGAGATTGACGAAGCCCAGATTATCGCAGAGGGAGAGAAAGAAAAAACCCTAATTCCTCGTTTCAGAAGTTACTCTCAGTCTGCCACTGTATCTCTCTCTCTCTCGCTCAAGTTCATCGTAAACAAATTCAAAATCTCAATTCAATTTCGGTGGGAGATTGTTGCAGTTTCTCCTGGAACAATGGTAATTAGTTCATCAAAGCGTTTCCTTCCTCTCCCATTTCCCTTTTCTCTGGGATTTTCTCAAATTTTTTCTTCCTTTTTTAAAATGAGTTGTAAATTGTAATTGCTGTTAAAAAGAAAATACACATTCTAGGCTTCTAATAAGTTTTTTTTTTTAAATACCATTTCAATTGAGTAATCACAATACCATTTCCGAATAATATGATTTTCCAATTTTGAGTAAAATACTAAATCTGAAAGATACGTCCTGATCACACTAACTGTCCTATTATGTATACAATATACAACATACTTTTTTGGTTTTTAAAGAAAACAATATCATCAAAATATATATAAAGCATGTCTCTTAACATCTTTAAATCATAAATTAGTTTAGAATCACCATCCCTAATTCCCTGGTTATGATATAAATGTTAGATTCACTATTGTTTTGATACGATTTACAATTCAAAATCATGGAGTAGAGATTGTCTCTTGTTGTTATAGTGCGACTTCATGAATGAAAAGATAGTGTCTTCAAAAAAAAGAAAAGATTGGTGTCTTTAACATATAGCCACGGACAAGCTTCATGATATTTAAATCAGCAAAGTTCATGCATTTGCCGACAAAAAAAATATTTTTATAAGAATTTTAATACCTTTTATATTGTTTCATCTGTTTTCATTTTGTTCATTGATTGTTTCATCTTTTTCATTTTGTTCATTGATTGTTTCATTAGCAACACAACTTTTTCATATGAACCAAATGAAACAGCTCTAGTAACCACCTCAAGTGTTTCAAAAAGACTAACTACCATTCCCAAGAGTCCTCCACTTTCAAGTCAAAACTTTTTTTTGTTCTTATAAATCACAATTCTCCTCTGCATGCAGCTGAACGAGTTACTTATGAGATTGTTGCATTCATAAATCATAATGCATGATCACCATTCACCAATGCATATTATTCACATTTTCCTATTTTCTAATTGTTGAATGTGGCTTAGTTGTTCGAAACAAATACCCATCATCAACTTTTGTCCAAGAACGTCGATGTCAAGAAGTAAAAGATATGCTTTTCAGTTGTCAGATAAAGATACAGAATAATAGTATTTTTGTCTTCATTAGGGCATTATCAAAAGAGGTTTGAATTTTCCAAAACGGTGTCGTTTTCGTATCCTTTTTCACAGACTTTAAACATTTTAAAAAATGCGGTGAGCGTGGATCGAACACGCGACCTTCAGATCTTCAGTCTGACGCTCTCCCAACTGAGCTATCCCCGCAAGATGTTTAATTATTAAATACTTACTTATCTAAACACTATTTAGAGATAATTTTGTTGATTTCGTAAAGATTGATAGAGCCATAGAGGCCGATGAATTGTAATACGAATACAAGAACAAAATCTCACCCTTGAATTAATAAAAACAGTGGCCAAGTAAATTTTGTTCTTGTTGTTGTACACTAACTGTTATATAGTTTCCTTCCTACAAAAGATAAACTGGAGAAGTGTGGTTGGGTTCTTAGTGTTTGAGCCAGTAGTTTCTTAGCTGTGCCATATGCAACAATATCTCGTCCCGACCTTGATTCGTCACACTGCTGGTCATAATCCATGGTGGTGTTGTCTCAAAGAACCCTTGGATCAAGTCTTGGAACTCCTTTATGTTCTCCTCCGGTTTCTTCCCTCCGTTTTTCTTCTTCTTCCTCTTGTCGCATTTCGTGAATATCAAAGTCATTGGAACCTGAGATATAGACAATAGAATAATTCATTTGTGGGAGACATGGCATAATTAGTAAAATTCTTTATCACGATGCCCAATCAACGGTCTAAGTCGGGTGTTAAGGTTTAGGTCCTTTTATACCTGGTTTTGACCAAGCCAGCTTGCGTACTCGAGATCAATTTGCTTTACGGGAATGCTGGCATCAACTAGTAAAAACACAGAGACCAGCGTTGATCTGTTTAGGAAATAGTCTTTGGTGAATTTGTTCCAGTCTTGTTTGAGTTCATGCGGTGCTGATGCATACCTGGATATATAAAATGTATCAACTTACATTTTCTATACTGAAAGTCTCCAAAAATTCGTAAGGACAGAAACTGTAATTGTATCCGACCAAAAAAAAAAGAAATAGGAGAGGCAGAGACTAGCCAGAGCAGTCTTAAGGAGGTTTGGTATGAAAAACAAAATGATATCCCTTAAACTTACCCGTAGCCAGGCAAATCCACCAAGTACCACTTGTCGTTGATCCGGAAATGATTAATGCATTGCGTCTTTCCTACATGTAGAATACATTACCAGAAATTACAACCAACCTACACGTAGCATAAGTACAAGCACTACATGGATGCCTCAATTTCGACTTATACGATTGCACCTATCAACCTTTCTAAGCAGTTCACTGTGGAAGGAGTACCTGTGAATGAGATGTTCTAGAAAATTTCCAGATTATAGAACACCCAATAGTCTCAATGACGAACCAGCTAAGAATTTTAGTCCAGGTTTTTCGGTTACCATCTACATTTTTTTGTTTCTTTTACTCAATGTGCATAAGTGAACCAGAGTTTACGGTTCTTCCCCTGAGCCCATTTCATCTACTCTAGGACAATAATTTTATAGCATTAGCAAATCTAATAGATTTACAATCTCCTAATGAACACTAACAACTGACTTGATCACTGTGTCTCCAAGATTTGATTCCTTAGACCACAGAATTCAATTCAGTTTCACATGACATTTTAACCGGAAAATCCCAGTTGCCCTCTTGATATATCTACTTAACCAGTGCCTTAGCTAGCAAACATGGAAGAACCATAAATCTAATGACACTAAAACAAATGTATGAATCCCATACCAGCTAATTGATGATTACGAAAGAGCAAAACTCAGCTTACCAGGTTTCTTAGAAGTCAAGGCAAGGCGTTTCCTCCTCACCAACGAATTGAGAAGCGACGATTTCCCAACATTGGATCTCCCGACAAGCGCAAACTCTGGCAGCCCATCGGCCGGACAATCCTCCGTCTTGACACTACTCTTCACGTAGTCAGCCTGAACCACCTGTGCGTCCCTCGCGTACTTGCTCAGCACTATGTTCGAGCCTTTCAGTATCCTCGCCGTTAGACTCGCCGGGTCATAGCCGGAGACATCAGTCTCAGGCGGAATAAAAAGCTTGTCGAGCGAAATCTCGACAGGAGCATCATCTAGATCGGATGAATCCGAGACAGGCAGCGGTAGGGGTTCAACAGTGGCGAGATTCGATTTAGACGCGAGTGAGAAAAGGGTCCGAGCTACTGTAACCGGCGGCTTAGGGTTTAGGAAATTGAAATGCGAAGAAGAGAGCGAGAATGAGGGTTTCGCGAGGATTGAGAGATGAAGTCTTGGAAGCTGCGCTAAAATCATATCTGATTCTTCACTGTGTTATATCAGTATAGTGTCGTACGTACTGTTTAGTTTCTCCTTAGCTTCTGTGAGCAGCCATGGATGTAGGATTGAGCTTACGGATGCTGGTAGAGTGAGAAAATCCGGAGGAGGCGAAGGTTTTGGAAAATATCCGTGGCAAAACGCATCGTTTTTAGTGATGATATATTGCTGAACGAGAACTTTCCTTATTTTACAATTCGCCCGCTCTACTTCAACGATTGTATCAATTCGCCACTATCTTCTTTGTTACATTACATAGTTTGTAATGTTAAATCTGAAATTAGTTTGCAGGGAATAAAATTTTAATCTACAACTCACTGATGAGCATACTTTACATGAGTATATCTCTTTTTGTGAGCATAATTTAAAAGGGGGTAAATTAAAAAGAAACAAAAAGTAGGAGGAGTACATAGCAAAACTGGGTCGTTGGCATCTTCTCCCACCTCTCTCCAAGCACGGACGAGACTCGACCAGTGAACCAAAATCTCTTTCAATTTTAGCAGCGCGTGCTTCTGATCTCGGTGGAATTCACTCCGATCGGCGATATCGCGTGGCTTATGCTCCAGTGGATCTCACGGCTTAAAAAGTAATCGTATCTGAATTGCAATCCTATTAGCCATGGCTCCTCCGGCCGCTTCGCAGCGTTATCCATCACCGTCCCAACCTTCAGGGTAACTCATGCTCTAGACCTCTGCTTCCCTATAGATCAGTACCCAGAAATTGCACTTGTTCCCCTACATTCTTAACATAAAAAAGCAGCGATCATTTTTATGTTTCGATCATCTCTGTTCATGCGTGGTCGGTCAGCTCCTTAGTTCTCAAATTATTTGATCTATATTGTTCCTATGCTAAATCCAGAAATTCAGAAGCTCCCATGTTATGGATCTAGATTTAGGATGTCTCATGAGGTGTTTTGCCAGTCTGAGCTAAGTGATGTAAAAAATAGCTATATTGTGGGAATCGGAAGAGGCCTTTAGTTTGAATTCTCTCCCCGTAAATTACAATTACTATGTGCGGTAATCTGATCTCTCCTTGGTCAAATTAAGGGAGAACTGAAACTTGAAGTTGTTATGTAACAGGAAAAGCGAAGTGTCGGATCTCAAAACCCAGCTTCGCCAGCTAGCTGGAAGTAGAGCTCCAGGAGTTGATGATTCCAAACGTGACCTCTACAAGAAAGTAATATCGTACATGACTATTGGCATTGACGTATCATCTGTATTTGGAGAAATGGTTATGTGCTCAGCAACATCAGACATTGTCCTGAAGAAGATGTGTTATCTTTATGTTGGGAACTATGCTAAGGGAAATCCTGATCTTTCTCTTTTGACGATCAATTTTCTCCAAAGGGATTGCAAAGATGAGGATCCTATGATCCGCGGGCTTGCTCTCAGGAGCTTGTGTTCCTTACGAGTACCAAACCTTGTCGAGTATCTGGTTGGTCCCTTGGGGAGCGGACTAAAGGACAATAACAGCTATGTGAGAACAATCGCTGTTACTGGAGTACTAAAGCTTTATCACATCTCAGACTCAACATGCATTGATGCCGATTTTCCTGCAACGCTGAAAAGTTTGATGCTTCATGATTCAGATGCTCAGGTTAATTTTCTTTTGTATGTATAATATTTTGTTGAATACACTTGCACATAGACTCTCCTTAGCATATCACTTTTTTTTGTGTGATTAGTACCTTTTTGATATAAAATATAATGTCAGGTAGTTGCCAATTGCCTGTCTGCACTTCAAGAAATTTGGAGTTTAGAAGCAAGCCACTCTGAAGAAGCATGTCGGGAGAAGGAATCCTTGCTTAGCAAGCCAGTTATATACTATTTCTTGAATCGGTATGTCCCTAAGCTCCTCCTTCAACTGTCCATCAGTATGTGTTATTGTTGTAGTGGTATCTAAGATGGGAGAAGCAAATTTTATAGTTGTGGTGTTTTCTTGCAGGATCAAAGAATTCAGTGAATGGGCACAGTGTCTTATACTTGAGTTGGCAGTAAAATATGTGCCATCAGATAGTAATGATATTTTTGACATTATGAATCTGTTGGAAGACAGACTTCAGCATGCCAATGGAGCTGTTGTCTTGGCAACAGTCAAAGTGTTTTTACAGCTAACGCTCTCCATGACTGACATTCATCAACAGGTTCAAAGTCCATCTCTTTTATCCTTATCCTTAATCATGGATAATTATTCCTGATGAAATTAGTTATGCGCGGAATTTCATGATAATGAATTAGTTTCTATATTTTCCAAATAATGAAGCCATTATATTACTTTTGGTATCATTGTCTGAAAGCTTGAAAATCAGATCTAAACAAACATAGCCATCCCTGATTTGTTATTGTTTAAGATGATCACTGTCTAACTAATGCCAAATGATGGTGTATAGGTATATGAGCGTATTAAATCCCCACTTCTAACTCTCGTCAGTTCTGGAAGTCCAGAGCAATCATATGCAATCTTGAGCCACCTTCATCTTTTGGTTGTTCGTGCGCCATTCATCTTTGCCGCAGACTATAAGCATTTCTACTGTCAGTACAATGAACCGTCATATGTCAAAAAGTTGAAGCTTGAGATGTTGACTGCTGTTGCAAACGAGAGCAACACTTATGAAATTGGTAATGGTTTCAAACTATGTCAATATGGAATCTGGGAGGGAGAAACCCTTTCTTTTCTGGCTGGTTGATTTAAATAATTCGTACTTTTGTCCTATTCAGTGACGGAGTTGTGTGAGTATGCTGCAAACGTTGATATTGCAATTGCGAGGGAGTCAATTCGGGCAGTTGGGAAGATTGCTTTGCAACAGTATGATGTAAATGCGATTGTTGATAGACTTCTTCAATTTCTGGAGATGGAAAAGGACTATGTGACCGCTGAAACTTTGGTAAATTATCATATGAACTATTCACAGAGATCATTAGCCATCACATTGATACTATATTGCATTTTCATAACGAATATCCACTTGTCTGGTTGTTCCTCTAGGTTCTTGTGAAGGACCTTCTAAGGAAGTATCCACAATGGAGCCATGATTGTATTTCTGTTGTTGGGGGTATCAGTAGCAAAAATATTCAGGAACCGAAAGCCAAGGCGGCTCTTATATGGATGTTGGGTGAATATGCTCAGGACATGAGTGATGCCCCCTATGTTTTGGAGAATTTGATAGAAAACTGGGAGGAAGAGCATTCGGCTGAGGTATTTAGGCTTTACTTTTCTGTTTTTTCCTTTCTACTGAAATTGTGGTTCCATATATGTGTGAGAATGAGGACTTGCTCATTCGTCTATGTTCCCTATTTGTGCCATTGAGCAGGTTCGGTTGCATCTCTTAACTGCAGCAATGAAATGCTTTTTTAAGAGGGCCCCTGAAACTCAGAAAGCCTTAGGAACAGCTCTAGCTGCAGGAATTGCTGATTTTCACCAGGTATTGTCCAATCTTCTTTTCCAAATTTCTCTTGTTTTGAAACCATGGGCCTATTAGATCACTCATTCAGCACTGCTGTTGGTGTAGGATGTTCATGACCGAGCCTTGTTCTACTATAGGGTTCTGCAATATGATGTACACGTGGCAGAACGTGTTGTTAGTCCTCCAAAACAGGCGGTTTCAGTCTTTGCTGACACTCAAAGCAGTGAAATCAAGGACCGTATATTCGACGAGTTTAACAGCCTTTCTGTAATCTACCAGAAGGTATGTTTCCTGACATTTTTGCCGAAACCAATGTCGTATTATGCATTTATTAGCCTATTTTATGGGTGTTCTTTATATGTTTTCATAGTAAACTCGAATTTTTTTGCAGCCATCTTACATGTTTACGGATAAGGAACATCGAGGACCCTTTGAGTTTTCAGACGAACTTGGAAATATTCCCATCACACCAGAAGCCTCCAGCGACATTGTTCCAGCTCAGCAATATGAGGCAAATGACAAGGACCTGCTTCTTAGTATTGACGAGAAGGACGACAATAAAGGTCTTTCCAATAATAATGGTTCCGCTTACACAGCTCCTTCATTAGAAAGCTCCTCAAATATAACCTCACAAATGCAAGAGCTCGCAATCTCCGGCCCTGCCATATCCGCAGTTACTCCACAAACAAGCTTTGGTTTTGATGATCTCCTTGGTTTGGGTTTATCAACAGCTCCTGCTCCAACACCATCACCGCCTCTCTTGAAACTTAACCCAAGAGCTGCTCTCGATCCAGGTGCCTTTCAGCAGAAATGGCGCCAATTGCCATTATCATTAACACAGGTTTTTCTTCACTCATAATTTTCACCTTGCTATGTTAGTTTTCCGCTCCTAAGTACATTCTAGCCGTACAGAATGACGATACTTTAACTGGCTTTTCATCCTCTTTTGTCAAGATGTCTAACTTAGCAGGAGTATCTTTTACCACATATTGCCTGCATTTTTCACGCATTAGATGCATTTGGGATCATAATTTGTTTTCCTGTCTCTAAATTCATGAAAGATTTTCGTTAGTTCTCAGGGATTTTGACTAGTAAGATTGTAACTTTATTAACTTCATGTGCAGGAGTGTTCTGTGAATCCCCAGGGAATCGCAGCCTTAACAGTTCCACAATCACTTATCAGACACATGCAGAGTCATTCCATTCACTGTATCGCATCAGGCGGTCAATCCCCAAACTTCAAGTTCTTCTTTTTTGCTCAAAAGGAATCAGAACCATCGAACTATCTCGCTGAGTGTATCATAAACACTTCATCCGCTAAAGCTCAGATAAAAGTGAAAGCAGACGAGCAGAGTACGTCTCAGGCATTCGCAACCATATTTGAAACAGCCTTATCGAAATTTGGTATGCCTTGAGAGAGGGTTTTTGATAAAATTAATCTCTATGTATTAGTAGAATTCTCTGGATGGATCTCTTCACTTGTTGTAAAATGTGATAAATACGTTATGAGTTTTGTAGTCTCTGACCTTTGATTTCATGGGTTCTTCGTGTTATAAAATACTTTTCTGAGGTTCTACGGAGGTACTTTTTATCCTTAGTGTGAATTGTCCATGTTTTATTAGCATCACATCTTCATTTCAAAGTGATATCGTGGAAATGTAATATCAGATCATCATCATAAGGGTAACTGATTCTGACACGATGGAACGACTTCAAGATAATGCAAGATCAATCTACGAGGATGTGCAATTTCTCAACGTCACCAACATTAAAATTTTGAATCACTTAGGAAGTGAATGAAATAAAAAAAAATTAAGGCTTGGAACGTTAGATTCGTATAAAATGTGAGCTAGTTTGAAAAGAAAAGAATTTTATAAGGCGACGGATGAAAAAAAAGTCAGCAGTCTGGCTTTGGTAATAACTTTTCTTTTATTTTATTTTTAATTTGTCGTGAGTGGTTACGATTTCTTTCTTCAATTTTCGTAAACTTCTAGGGAAGGAGAGGGGAGATAGGGAAGTGGGAAAGGGGGAAACCCTAGATTCGATCTCCATTCGATTTGGTTCGTTCTCGAATCGAAGCGATGGTGTTCTACTTCAAAGCCCGACCTGATGCTGGCGACTACACCATCTTCATGGGGCTTGATAAGTTCGAGAACGAGGAGCTCATCAAGTACGGCTTCCCCGAAGACGTCTGGTAAGCCGTCTTTTGCCAGAAGATTCTCCATTTTTCCCGATCATTTATTGTATTTTTTTATTCATTTCTCTGAAGTTTTTTTTGCTCGGATCGGTTTTAGTTTCGGATGGCTGAATTGTTTATTTAGTTGGGTTTTAATCGAATTTTGAGTTTGTTCTCTTTGTTGATGGTCAGATGTTTTGTTATGTCATGATCTATTTGTTTATTGACTTGTGGTGAATTCATGAGCTTGTAAAGGGAAGGAAATGCTGGTCAACCTTTGCTCGAGTTTTGTTTCTGATGATTTCACTTAGAGTTTGATATGTTGTGCTGAGCCTTGCGATGAGTTTTTGTTCCTATCTAATATAAATTTTATCTAAATTTTAGTTTCCCTTATTCATAAAATTTCTTAAGATCATTTGGAAGAAAGAGATATGTAGTTACGGTTTCTGAAATGTTTGTTGAAGAATTGACGGAGAATTATGATATGAGCTTAGTTGCGTTTTCGTGGGTATAACCTTGTCGGAGATAGATCTTTTTTGTCCCTATGTATATTGAATAATGAAAAGGAGGATTAAAATATTCTTCATTGCTGGGACTTTGTGTTCTGGACAAATAGTGAATATAACTGTGGTATGTTTGGTACTGTATGCAGTTGTTTTATCAATTTTTCTCTGGAAATACCTTGAGATCTTGGTAACTCCAGAGAGCTAACCACAATGGTTTATTGATTAGTCCATGTTTGAGTAATACCTATGGATATGCTGAAAGCTGTGAATTCACCCCTATTTGTATATTGTCCTCTCATGCTGTGAAAGCTGTTATTTAAACAAACTAAATGAGTTTCATAGCTTTGCTATTGCTCATATGCTGCTACAGCACATTTCTTTTGCAGTTCAGTAATTTAATTCATTACTGAGGGGTAACTTATAAATACACCATGTCTGTATTCTATTCATGCTTCTTCTGCTAATGTCAAATTTTTATGTGTTGGACATGCATAGGCTGTTTTTACCTTCTAATTTGAAAATTCCCTTGTTCCATACAAACTCTAGCAGCTTCATCTGGTCATTTTTTTTTTTTGTTCAGTATGTTAATTCACGACCAATCTGCTAAAAGTAATTTACATTTGATGCAGGTTTCATGTGGATAAAATGTCGTCAGCTCATGTTTACTTGAGGCTTCATAGGGGCCAAAGTTTTGATGACATTAGTGAAGGTGTGCTGGAGGACTGTGCTCAGCTTGTGAAAGCTAACTCCATTCAAGGTAAAAATCTGAATCCCTTTTTCTCCTTGTCCCGAACTTAACATTTGCATAACCATTAGTCTTAGAGTATCAGTTTGTTTTTTAGAAGGAGGGCACATATAGGGTATTTTTCTGTTTTCTTATCGACTGGTGTCTGGGATTATGTGCCAGGCAACAAGGTGAACAACGTTGATGTTGTGTACACTCCGTGGTCCAACTTGAAGAAAACTGCCTCGATGGATGTTGGTCAAGTTGGTTTCCACAATTCAAAGATGGTAAGCTTCGTCATCTCACAATAAATTTTGGTTTCTGCATAAAGTATGGTTGCAAAGCAATGGTGATACATTGGTACCTACCTAACTGATATTTGTTACTTAAAGGTCCGGACGATCAGAGTGGAGAAGCGAGTCAACGAAATAGTTAACAGATTGAACAAAACAAAAGTTGAAAGAACACCTGATCTGAGAGGTTAGTGTTTGGTTTGGGGCTCTTCCTTAAATTCCAATAGATAGAAAATCATACATACATACAATTCTTGCATATTAAGTGTCAGTTAAGTGACTAAACTTCCAGATAATATAACTTTAGGATCTACTAAATTAACATTGCTGTTGATAACTGTTTTGATGAAGCCGAGAGAGAAGCAGTGAATGCTGCAGAAAGAGCAGAGAGGAAACAACATCTGAGGGAGAAGGTCAGTTTCTGGGTTTTTGTCCTTATCAGCTGAAGAAGTCTTTGATTAGGGGTTTGACAGAAATCTTGGATGTTTCTTAATTTTGCAGAAGAAACGTGAAGAGATTGATAGGCTTGAGAAGGAGAGGCAAGCAGAGATGAGGAGTTACAAGGGGCTAATGGTGACTGATAAAATGACATCCAACAAAGACATTGCTTCAAGCAACAAATCGCTTCAAGAACTGGAAGATGATTTCATGTAAAAGCTCTGAAGAAATGAGAAAAAAACAAACCAAGTCGGTAACATTCAGCCAGAGGTGATCTGGTACTGTCCTTCAAAGAAGGCTTATGATGTTCATACTAGCCTTAATTATGATGATGATGGTTGTCCGGTTTTATGTTTTTCTTTCAAAAAGTCTTGAAGACCTAAAACCCTAATCTGGTACTTGGACTACTTGGTCCATTGAAATGTTTCAAAAGATTGGATCTGATCTGTGAGAAAAAAAGAGCATTATATATTCTATAACACAGGTTAGCCAGTGACCTGGTGGCAGTCATTGTTGTGGTGTTTCTCGAAAATCATATTGTTATCGTGAATCCGAATCATGTCCGAAAATCAGAGTGTCTTGGGTTGGGTTTTGAATTCACTCTATTGACCATAGTTGTGGCTGTTAGAGCTCGCGGGTGGAATCTAAACCGTCATGTCTCGTGACTGATACAGGCTTAATATAGAGTAGTAAGTTATCTTTGAGCGAGCTAGTTGATATATGATGTTGATCCCACCCTAAAAGTCCCATGATTTGAAATCATTCCGGTGGCCCTCTCTAGAGGTGGTGGATTTGAAATTGAATCAGTCAAATAATCCAACAATTCGTGTACTTGGAAATCTAAGTGTATTAAATAAACCTGGGTACAAATTTGAAAAAAAAAAGGGAAAAAAGGGTAAGAAACAAAATAATTGTATGTCCGTTAAGCTCACTCTAAAAAAGATAGGGAGACACGTGACAAAACATATTTAAAATGGACGGCTGAGATTAAGAATGAGAGCCGCTCATTAAGAAGAAGAAAACGTTTATTTGACTTATATATATTTTGTAAAATAGTAGTATAGGGTTTATTGACGAAATTCGAAATTCCGCCATTCTTGTTTTGAAAATAGCTCTGCCGACCGTTTTAGATTTCTTCTTTATCTTCCCTTCTTAACTTTTCAATCACTCTCTCTTCCTCTCAACATTTATCTCAGATCGGAGATTTCTAGTTTTCGATTTGAGTTTAATTTGGGGCATTTTAAAATTTTCTTCCGCATCGTCGTCTCTCTTCGATTTCTGATTCCTTCCATTTTCGAAGCTCACATCGGTTAGTGCTCTCTGACTTCATAGTTAGAGATCTTGAAGTATGTCTGATTGGTCTTTGAATCTAGGTTGATTTGGGGTATGATGTGATTTTGAATCTATTGTCTGATTGATCTAAAAAAAAACAATTTCTCATTTTAAAGTGATTTACGAAATAAAGTTTACAGTAGATGCGTTTGGATCTAAGACCAAATACGAGGTTTGAAGCAAACTCCATCTTGTTATCTGTAATCATTTTCAAGCTTCGACTATGTTTTGTCCGTATAGCGACGGACCGTGCTGATGCCTTTGTTTTCCTTTCTTCTTCACATTTTTCATCTTAGGGAAGATTGTGGGATGGTGCAAAGGAGACAACCAATAGCTTTTGCTAGATGAGTGAACATTGCAGAGAAGAGAGGCAACGTATGGGAATTGGAGTAACCATTTTTGCTTATTCATTGAAAAGCTATGGAAAGTGAGTCTACAACTATCTCAACCCCTCAGGAAGGGATCCCAAAATCGCGTCACGGGTATGCTTCTTTTTCATATCTTCAGCTTCCCGCAATAGACTTGGAATCAAACGTGCTCATGTCCTCTACTTATCACATCTATTTCTGTGTGGATTTTTACAGGAGGACTAGTGGCCCTGCAAGACGTTCAACTCGAGGTCAATGGACAGCAGAGGAGGTGATTTATTTTATGTTTCCATCAGCTTTTTTTACAATTAGTCTGCTTTCACGTTGCTTGAGTTATGCAACAAAGTGATCCCTGTGTTTTTTCATACTGCATGAGAGGATACAAAATATGCATTTCTTTACACTCTTTGACCAACTTATTTGCTAAACTTTTTTACTCGAACATATTTTCAGGATGAGGTATTGAGAAAAGCTGTCCATAGTTTCAAAGGGAAAAACTGGAAGAAGATAGGTAAACTGTCTAGACTTGTTTTCCTTTTTGTGTTAATTTACTGAACTGAACTGTAATCTTTCTTCTCTATTTGAATGTCACCACTTTGTCTGATTTACTTTTCTTAACTTCCAGCTGAATATTTCAAGGATCGAACTGATGTCCAGTGCCTCCACAGGTGGCAGAAGGTTCTTAACCCTGAACTTGTTAAAGGGCCATGGACGAAGGAGGTGACAGTTTATTTCTTCATTACTTTACATATGCGTATCTCGCAATAAACTTGACCCTGTTTGCTTTACTCCTATTATCTCTTGTGACTGCTTATTGCTCTCGTTTGATGTGTGTGTAGGAAGATGAAATGATCGTTCAGTTAATAAAAAAATATGGGCCGAAGAAATGGTCCACTATTGCTCGGTATTTACCTGGCCGTATTGGAAAGCAATGTAGAGAGAGGTATGTTTATTGACAGTTATATCTCTAGGAACAATAGTGAACTGTATATTCATAAATCTTGTAATTGGTATAGGTGGCACAATCACCTCAATCCAGCCATAAACAAGGAAGCTTGGACTCAAGAAGAAGAGCTGGTTCTGATTCGTGCTCATCAAATCTATGGTAATAGATGGGCAGAGTTAACAAAGTTCTTGCCTGGAAGGTACTTATATACTGTCATTTGAAACTCATTGTACATTTTTATTCAATCTTAAGGTATTCTTCTATTTGTTCTAGCAATATAGTTTTTTGCTATGTTATATCAACAGGTCGGATAATGGAATTAAAAATCACTGGCACAGTTCAGTTAAGAAGAAACTTGATTCCTACATGTCGTCTGGCCTTTTGGATCAGTACCAAGCCATACCTCTAGCTCCTTATGAGAGAAGTTCCACATTAGAATCAGCTTTTATGCAGAGTAATATAGATGGAAATGGCTGCCTAAGTGGACAGGCAGAGAAAGAAATAGACAGCCGTCAAAGTTCAAGCATGATTGGCTGCTCACTATCTGCAGGAGATTTTCCAAATGGACCTATAAACATGGAGCATCATTTCTACCCCTGTGGAAACTCTCAAGAGACTGAGCAAGCTGTATATCACCCAGAGCAGTATTTCTATCCAGAATTGGAAGATATATCAGTCTCCATCTCAGAAGTCTCTTATGACATGGAGGACTGTTCACAGTTTCCGGATCATAATGTTTCGACTTCTCCAAGCCAGGATTACCATTTTGATTTCCAGGAACTATCTGAAATTTCACTGGAGATGAGACAAAATATGTCAGAGGTACCAATGCCATACACGCAGGAGAGCAAGGAACCAACTCTGGGAGCTACCAACTCCACATCATATATTGATGTGGCTACTTACACAAGCTCAGCAAATGTTTTGACACCTGAAACGGAATGCTGCAGGGTACTTTTCCCTGATCAAGAGAGTGAAGGGCAAAGTGTTTCTAGATCCTTGACCCAAGAACCAAACGAGGTTGACCAGTCAGACTCCCGAGATCCTAGTTTGTGTACATCCGCTTCAGACAGCCAGATATCTGAAGCTACAAAATCTCCTATGCAAAGCTCTTCTTCAAGGTCTATTGCAACAGCTGCCTCAGGCAAAGAAACGCTTCGTCCAGCTCCCTTAATCATATCACCCGACAAGTATGCAAAGAAACCATCTAGATTGATTTGTCATCCTTTTGAGGCAGAACCAAAGTGCACAACAAATGGAAATGGTAGCTTCATATGCATCAATGATCCATCAAGCTCCACGTGTGTTGATGGAGGAACCAGTAACCCCGGCGAAGAAGATCAATCATATCATGTGAATGATTCCAAAAAGTTGGTTGCAGTGAGTGATTTTGCTTCTCTGTCAGAAGATAGGCCACACTCTCTTCCTAGGCATGAAGAAAACACGACAAGCGAGCAAGATCATGAGGATATGGGAGCATCATCAAGTCTCGGTTTTCCAAGCTTGGACCTACCTGTTTTCAGCTGTGATCTTCTACAATCTAAAAACGATCCTCTACACGATTATAGTCCTCTCGGCATACGCAAGCTACTGATGTCCACCATGACGTGCATGAGTCCCCTTCGGTTGTGGGAATCTCCCACTGGAAAAAAGACGTTAGTTGGTACAAAGTCAATCCTGAGGAAACGGACCCGTGATTTACTGACACCGCTATCTGAGAAAAGAAGTGATAAAAAACTTGAAACTGATATAGCAGCCAGTCTCGCAAAAGATTTTTCACGTCTAGATGTGATGTTTGATGAGAGTGAGAATCGAGAATCTATCTCTGGAAATATCACTGGTGTCATTCTTGGAGATAGAGAAAGTGGTGGAGAAGGTGAAGAGAATTGGAAGCCTTCTTCACTCTTTAGTCACAGAATGCTAGAAGAAACTATGCATATTAGGAAATCGTTTGAGAAAACTTGCATTGAGGCAAATGTCAGGGAAAAAGATGGTTCTGAAGCTAATGTCGAAAATGTAAGTCTGTTCTTTCCCTTAAGCATTTATATATCTGTTGAGCTAATTAATTACATAAACTCAGTTCCATCTGAGTTCTACCCAACAATGTCATTTTACTACCCGATTTCTATGTGAAGCTGATAAAAATTCATTTCGTGGTAACAACAATATAACTAAACTGGGGGACATTTTCTTGAACTAAGTTCTTCATCCTAGTTTATTAAACCGACCTGTGTGAACATTCTTGTGGTCAAACTATCAAAAACTTTAGTTGAAATACTGCCTAACTATTTTTGATGTATATATACATATGATTGATCATCGTTTCTTTATACATCACAGGATTCATCATTTTTTTCTGTGCTTTTACTTTATTGATGAATCAACTCTTGTGCAGGCTGAAAGTATCTCTGGTGTTCTTTCTGAGCACAATACCTGCAAGTCAGTTCTGACATCTCCTGGCCAATCAGTTACCAAAGCAGAGAAAGCACATGTTTTAACACCAAGAAATCAATTCCAGAAAACTTTCATGGCTACTTCTAACAAAGAACAGCATTCCTCTTCAAGTCTTTGTTTGGTCATCAATTCGCCTTCTCGAGCGAGAAACGCAGAGGGTCATCTTGTTGACAACGAGACAAGCAATGAGAATTTTAGCATGTACATCTATGCCAACCTTACAAATATATTTATTTTCCTCTATATGCTTTCAGTTATTGCTATAATAATTTTGTTTCTCCCTCGTTTTTTGGTCCATTTTACAGATTCTGTGGAACTCCATTCAGGAGAGGTCTTGAATCTCCCTCAGCCTGGAAATCTCCATTTTACGTAAACTCTCTCTTGCCCAGCCCAAGGTTTGACACAGAAATAACTATCGAGGTATTTTCATATGCCTTAAGATCCTTCTACTATATGTACAACCTCTTACTTCTACTTAAGACCCTGGTGCCTAACGTTAAATTCTCTTAGGCCTAATATATATAGACCTATTATTCATAGGCAATTTTTGTGCTTATTTTTCAGGATATGGGCTACATTTTCAGTCCTGGGGAGAGAAGCTACGAGAGCTTAGGAGTGATGACACAGTTAAATGAACATGCAAGTGCATTTGCAGCATTTACAGATGCAATGGAAGTTTCAATTTCACCAACTAATGATAATGCGGAGCAGAAGAAGGAATTGAACAAAGAGAACAATGATCCTCTACTGGTATATACATAGTCCACCAATTACCAATCATTCATTCTCTAAGTAGACTATTTCGAAATTATGATTTTTGGTTTTGAACATTTCTGAATCTATAGGCGGAGCGTCGAGTGCTAGACTTCAACGATTGCGAGTCTCCCATCAAAGCAACAGAAGAAGTCTCATCATACCTCTTGAAGGGATGTAGGTAAAATGCCAAAAAGCTCATACATAATATGCAAATGCACATACATGAACATGTATAAATATGTATGTGCATCTCTTATGAATTATCCATTGCTGGATCAATTTCTTTTCTATTTCTTTTAAATGGATCAACTCGGGTGAATTTATGTAGATTTATGTGATCAATATATATACATATTTCTTATTGAGTACGTGCATATACTTGGGGAGAAGAACCTATACAGTGCACATGTGGGAGTACATAGACCAACTGCAGTGACATTATTCTTGTTCTGTGTTCCATAAGCTAGAACCTTAACTGATTGATGTCCTTATGATATTTCGGGACTGATTGGTAATCTAAAAAGATGGATCCAGGGGTAAGTAACAGTAGCAGAAACACAAAAGCTTCTTGCGTACTTTATTAATACTGGGATGAAATAATAATAATAATAGTAACGACATTTATATTGTCACTGCCGGAAATACTATAACAGAAAAGAAAACCATATTCTTTATTATGACGATTTAAGCCAACTCGTATCGATGGTGTTCGGTTTCTCAGACGGTTTTGGTCGCAACAGCATGGATAGCATCTGCAAGGTGCGGTACAGTCTTCGAACTCAGACCAGCCATGCTTATCCTCCTTTTATTCATTTAAACAATCACAACAAGTTAAAGACAATTTCAAGAAACTTAACAGATAACAGACGACGAAAAGAGGCTTACCCGTCGGATGTCATGTAGATGTGGTACTCTTTAGTCATGTAGGAGACTTGAGCTGGGTTTAACCCTGTGAATGTAAACATACCTATCTGCTTTATTATGTGACTCCAGTCTCCAGGCGTACCTGTCACATGATTTTGAGTTTCCGTTTCATTAGTTATGTCCATTTATAGTCCTGATGATCTATACAAAACAATAAGACCTTACTTACCTCTAGTACGTAATGCCTCAAAAAGCTGTTTTCTCATGCTGATGATACGATCAGCCATGGCCTTCAGCTCCAGAGTCCATTCGTTGAACAAATTCCTATCTCGGAGAATTACAGCAACGATTGATGCACCATGAATCGGAGGACTTGAGTACATTGGCCTTATCACTAGTTTCAGTTGGCTTTCAACTCTCCCTGCAACATCTGATGATTTGCATACCTACAACAACTTCATGTCAGAATTCGATAAATAACTTCCTACGAGTTTCTTAGAAAGACTTCTTGCAATGCAGCAGGTTATATGAATCTTACAATGCTGAGAGCTCCAACTCTTTCCCCATATAGTCCCATGTTCTTCGCATAACTTTGAGCAACGAGGCATTCTCCGCCATCAGCAACAAACATCCTAATCGGTTTTGCATCTGTATCCAGACTTCCACTCGCAAAGCCCTGTAATGCGAAATGAGATAAAAACATATGGAAGGTAAGTATTAACAATTCTTGAGAGCAGAGGTGGTTTAACCATCAGCTGATCTTATACACGAAGGTAGTTTATTCATCAGTGTACCTGATAAGCACTATCAAAGAATGGCATCAATCCCTTTGATCGCATCAACTGCCTGATTTGCTCCCATTGTTGAATGGTTGGATCAACTCCAGTTGGGTTATGGGCACAGGCATGGAGAAGCACTATAGAACCAGGTGGGGCGGCACCAAGGTCTTCTAATAAACCTGTGAACAAAAGGAAAAAACGTCTTCTAAGAAAGAAAATTCTATAAGCTTATCAACAATATTATGCATAGAAATCGGTAGTAGTGCACCGTAGTCTCACCTTGAAAGTTCAACCCACGTGTCGATGGATCGTAGTAGCGGTAAGTTTTCACTGTCAAACCGGCCAGGGTGAAAATTTTGGGATGATTTCCCCATGTTGGCTGAGTAATATAAATTGTTTTCTGGGATGCAAAGAGAGAAACTCCAAGTTAACATGAAAAGTTCTCTATGATGAAGAAATTAAAACAAACAAGAACTAAGACAAAAGCATCCATGTACCTGATGATAATGCTTGGCCAAAAACTCCCCTCCAACTCTCAGGGAACCAGTACCAGACAAACACTCAACGGTTGTAACCCGATTCTCCCGAATAGCAGGACTAAGTAACATACATGAAAACACCAAAAATCATAAAAGAATGGTCTGAAAGAAAAAAAAAACTGATGAAAAGAAAAGAATAAACATTACCTGTCAGCGCCTAATATGAGCTTAGCGCTTAACTTGTTAAACTCAACCAATCCAACAATGGGAAGATACTCCTTGATTCTTGTTCTAAAGATAACACACAAAACAAGACTCAGCTTTCCTCACAACATCAAGCATATAAAGGGTAGCAGAACCAAAAGTCAACCCACAAAAAAAGCTGAACCTGTCATTGATAAGCTGCTGCTCAGCTTTCCTCACAACATTAAGAACCAAAGGTTTTCCCTCCTGCAACAGAAAACACCATTAAAGAACCATAAAACAGCATGAGAGTTATAACAGAGATGGCTTCAGAGGATCATTAATTACCTCAGTACGGTAAGCACCAACTCCCAAATTCAGCTTAACTGGGCTGGGATCTTTGTTATACGCAACTGTCACCTATTTATCATATTCAAAAACAATGAAATGATGAAAGATTCAATCCATTCTACTAATCAAGCGAACCAAATCAGAAACATAAACATCAAATCCTCTCCCACATTTTTGCGAGATGGTGAATTCGCAATAACCAATAACCGATCCAATGCGTAGGACATACATATCCACAAGCTTCGTGGAACATGTTCTAAAATCTATATAAAAAAACAAAACATAATCGAAGAATTAGAAGAAGAAGAAGGTACCCCAAGAATAGGATCCTCGGGAGCTTGAACAAGATGAGCGAAAACAGAACCGCCGGTGGCTCCCGATGTCGGCGAGGCATAAACGGAGCTCAGGTTATCGGAATCCGAACCGGCAGTGAGATGACGGAGCAGAGCACCGATCCTACGATCGCTTGGTGAAGAAGAAGAAGAAGAAGAAGAGAACTCGGTAGTCATATTTTGTTTTGCTTTGTGTTGCTTCTTGCTTTGCTTGTTGTGTAAGAACGAATGATGAAATGAATCGATTTGGACATTTTTACTTAAAATTGTATATTTTTCGCTATCCGAAGATGCCACGTAAGCTTGGCATAAAGTTGCGTGCCTTGAACTTGTTGAACCCCAAGGCCAACCCCATCATCTAAGATAAATAAATTTCTAAGATTATCCATCAAAAAGCCTCAATACCCGGGATATTATTTTAATTTAATACTCCCAAAATAGGGTTTAATTTCGCATTATAACTAAGAAAATGATCAAATCTAGAAAGGAAAAAAAATTGTGTTGTTACAGAGGAAATTAATTTAATTGTTTGGAGATAGTGGTACTATTTTCAATATACTGTACTATAAGAAGAAAAATGCTAATTTGAATTTAGCAATGTAAAATAATACAATATAGATAACAGAACCACATATTAAAATGAATCAATAGTTATATTTGATTGCATCTAGATTTGTTTTTCATTTTAAGTATAACGTAAGTGAATAGACGATGTACACTTTTAAAAACTCTTTCTCTTGTTTAACACATATGCTCATCTTAACCAATAAAAAATAAAAAGCTACCTTGTGTATATCGACTTATAGTGTCTACTTCGAAGGAGCAGCTCTATGTGGGGAGAAGCTCATATTCCATATATATGCATGATACTGGATCTTATAAGCCATAAAAATTTATTGTTTATTAGTACCTTTAAATAGTACAGTCATAATTATATATAATACAAAAGTATTCATAATTTTGTACAATCAAGAGATTTTCCTGGCAACAAAACTTTTATAGAAGTTCTCTTTGTTTAGTTTTGGTATTATATCTTATTTTGGTAGAACCGTACCAACATATATGAAAATTAAATTTGAATTCACTCGAATGTGTTTGTACCAAATGCATGTTTGATTTTGTGGCATTTGAATATTTGGGTTTTTTAATTTTTTAATTAAAGATGTTTTAAGAAAAGATTGAAAAAAAATTTGACACTGAAAGAGAAACTATATGTTTCAATATCGTTTTTATTGAAGTGAAAATATGAAATAATAAAACGTAAAAACCATCACCTATATGTCGAATGAATAATAATTATACTCCGTTCCATAAAAAGTCTAGAAAAAGTCTTATAAAATAGAACAAATACAAAAAGCTTAAAAATTTTATAATTTGGAACAGAGGGAGTATTTGTGTTGTATCTAAGAGTATTTGGAGTATTTGTGCTGTATTTAGATTTATCTATCTAATTATTTACAATGCAACTCAATGACGTTGTGGTTTTAAACTTCCTCATATTATACTAGTTTTCGAGCAAAGAGATTGTATATATATATATATATATATATATGGATGGTTAGATTTGAAATATAGATTTGTGTTCATAAGAGAAAGAAACCATAAATGCTGAAAATGATACCAGAAAACTTAATTGCTTACACGACAAATGAGAGTGTTGGAATTTTCTGATGTAATAATATTTGGAAACGGTACATATCATGTTGTCTCTCGTCTTTGAGCTCTAAAAGCCTCCTTCGATATTATTTCACTCAATTCGAGTTATAGATACGACTTACGAGGTAGTTTAAACAAGTAACAATTATTAGTAAAACAAGTACGACTTGTTTTTTTATCTGGATTTTTTCTATACATTTTTTTTTTCTTTTTGAGGTTTCCAAAATTTAAGATTTATTTAGCTAGTCATCACTGATCAGCCATTATAGGTTACAAAACTGGATCTTAAGAAATGACAGCAAAGATATATACTGTCTGAAAATAAAGTTATGCTAAAAAGTGTGTCATCTATATAGTTCAGAACTATACGTACTATGCTGAATTGGAATCCAAATTAATTAAAAAACATTATTACAAATCATGTAAATATTACAAATTCCAGTTATGATTAGCACAGTAGTTGTGTATGCATGGTAAAACTGTTAAAATCTGGATGTATGAATAAAATAACAAGTGATTATGCAACTAATAAAAAATATAATAAAGTAAATCGTAGCTACATTATCAAATCTCCATATGGTTCCTATTGTAAAATCTCAGTAAAAAATACTACTACGTTTTTTTCTTACAACTAACTGTAATAATAGGTCATTTAAAAGACTAAAAAACGAAAATTACTTCTTCTTTATTTACTGTAAAATACTCCATATATATTATGTTTTAAATCCGACTCGGTCAATTGAACGTAATTGACTAATAGTAATAGTTATATCAAAGTGATGTGTTGTTGTTCACTTGTTGTGTGTTTTCTTTTATATACAGAAACAAAGATGCGCTGGATCGTGTGGCTCAGACGAAATGCTTTTTTGGGGTTCAACCCAGATTTAAGGTAAATAGCTTTTAAAATAAAAATAGGGTATTCACCACCACCTAGGGATACTGAATAAAACTGTCATTTTTTTCTAGATTTTATCAGATATTATTGCCTCTGTGTAATGTGTATATGTCGAACAAATTATAGACCAAATTTGTGATTTTATTTAAATGGATATATTAACAAAAAAAAAATATATTACCAAATATTTTTATTTATTAGTGACAGCATTTGCCAGCGGGTCCGTACTCCGGACTAAGCAGAGTATTATTACTATATAAGAGCAGGATTAACGGTGGTATCTTAGGTGATTTTTAAGTTTTTTATAATTAAAATTAAATGTTTAATCATCATTTAGCATAACATACGTTGCTTGTTTAAGATACGTAAACTGTGATAAGAGACGGACATGTGGCAGCTTTTTATTGGTGGAAGAAGAAAAAGAAAGGAAAAAAAAAACTCTTCTCGCGTTCTGTCTTCTCCTCATTTCACTCTCGTGAAAACAAAGTTTTTTTTCCTTTTGGCGATGAAGATGGCGATTCGGCTCATCTCCGATCTTCCGCCGTAGATGTCGTCCGGCCGACCAATCTGAGAGATATCACGACCTCCAGCGTTGCGGGAGTTCCACGGGAGGAGGAGATGCTGAAATCAACAAGTGGTGTGAGAAAAAGGCGGCGAGGAGTACCGGAAATTGTTGGCTCCGATTTGTTCCAATCCTTCTCAAATCGGTAAGTTATGGTATGAATCTCTCTCTCTGGATGTTCGAAATGTTGTTTGAATGTTGGGAATTTAGGGTTCATCGGTTTGGGAAATTAGGATTTTATTTTGTTGATGTAAAATTGGGGTTAATTGTGTTTCTCTTTATACTTAGGCATGATTTGTTAAGGGTCTACACCAATGGCACCGATTTAATCTGATTATTTGTGTAGATAGTTTTATTTCGATGGTTTGTGTTGATGAGTGTTTCGATTTACACTTTGCTGTGATTTTAGGTGATGCAAGATGCTTGTAAAACATTGTTTGTGTCTGGTTTGTGTCATTTATAAGTACTATGCGAATGAGGTAAAAAATTCTTTTAGATTTATGTGTTATAATTATCTGTTTTTGATATTAGATTAGTTCAGTTCTCTTTTCATATGATCTATGGGGTCGAATGATTTTGTTAACACTTGGTTTGACTATTTGTTTATGTTATACAAACTATGCGAATGAGATTAAGAATTGTTTGAGGTTTGTGTGTTTAAATTCTGTGTATTTCATACAGCTTAGATTAGTGTCTGTGTTTGTTTGTGTTGTTGATAATTGTTTCAGTCTTTTCTAACACATTGTTCTGTGTTTTTCTGCAAGGTTAATATGGAGATACAAACACATTGTACAAAGAAGAGCGACAATAAAACACATAATACAATCCTATGGGTGTGATATCTCGTGAAAATAGTCATAATGTGAGAAGCTTGAGTTCCAAGTCTTTACTATGAGCGAGAGAAAGAGAAGAAAAAGAAGTTGTTATATATACATATATATATATATATATGTGAAATTTTAAATTTTCAATAACTATATCTTTTAATTTGTATATTATGTATTTTCAAAAATTCCAAATTTTAATTTAATTTTTAAATATTTTCTTTTTTCCTAAGAACCCCAAATTAACATACTACCAATAATCACTTTTTAAAAACCAAAAACCAAAATACAACTCTTACCTTTAACTTTTTCAAATATACTAATAAACTAATCCTAAGAGAAAATTTTAACATCTTATGGATAATGTTGCTCTAAGAAGGGTCGATAACGTATTTTCTTTCATAATAACAATCGTACATTTTTTAAACCACCAAACTTGTTGGGACTTTTTTTAAAATAGTAAAACATGCATATGCATCTATATGATCTTACATAATTTTTAAAGCTAGTATTAAGGAAAATGTGTACAGTGTTTCCCTTGCGATCGGACCACTATTTTCGTTGGACCGATTTTGGTGACATATGTTGATATGCTATTTAATAAAATGAAACTATATATATCTCTCCAAAACAAAATAATGTTTTTAATATTATCATATACTGTATAGTATATTTTAAAAACTCCAACATATATTGGTTTTTAAAAAGAAACGAAAATAACAATAAATTTTTGCGAAAATCATGATTAATTTGAGTATTGATTTCTTTTTTTTAAGTCATGTATTTTTAATTCTCTAGATCTTCATTATACATTTTTAGATTAAAAAAAAAAACAAATTATAATACAACTACTAAAAATCTCTAAATCACTTTAAAAATATGGATTCAATTGTATATAGGTAAAGTCATGCATGGGTACTAAAAAGGGGTATATTCTAGTATATTTCTCCTAGGGTTTTAGCATTTTTTGGTTTTCGTATCTAGAATGTCATATATATGTTAACATTAATTAGTATTAAAAATAAGGTATAGAGATTATTGGACATAAGAAAAAGTACAGTCTAGATTTTTAATTCAATGTTAATTTAAAGTCAGAAACAAAAACTAAAATATATGGACTATCAAAACTTTTAAACATTCTCTGATAAAGTTTCTTTAAGTATAAAACATATTGCACAACCATAGAATAGAACACGAACACAGGCGTGAATTCCCATGCTGGTGATGGATTTTTTTTTTGTGGAAATTTGGAGTAAATTGGTATCATCGTGGTTTGAGGGTTTACGTTGTCACCATAATTACGACCTAATAGTATATATCTTACACAGCTTTAGTTATATATAAAGGGCATAGACTATATGTACGTAACAAAGACACACTGCACATGCATGCATTATTATCATTTTGCAATATATCTAAAAACAAATATAATGATAAACCAAATAAAAGCTGAGACGAGATTTATGGTTCGTGAAGTTTCAAATTCCTTATACGATTGATCATCATACACAAAACGTGGCTCATGCATGACAGTAACTTCAACACAAAAGAATTTATAACCCTGCGTCAACGCATCCTCTTCTCTTCCAGCTCTTTTTTTCTTCTTTTTTTAAAGTATATTTTATTACATATTGGAAAAAAATGTTGTCAGTCCGAATCCAACATCAATAGTTTCTCTTGGTTAAGGGAAATACTATTGAGGTTCTATTATATTAGTTTCCGTTTGTTTTTATGCTTACATGCATGTTTGTGTGTTTTGCTTTTTTCCTTCATATGAAACTGCAAAAAGCCAAACACAAACGAATGCTTCTTTTAATACAAAATGCAATAGAGCCACAGTCTTCATTTTCATTTTCGAAGTTATAACCTTTTACAAAGAAAAAAATTATTAATTTAGTTAGAGGTTGGTCATGAGCAGCTTAGTGAGAGATTATGAATCCAAAACGATATGATCAGTTTTATTCATACATACAAAGAGATATTAATCAAGTGTTTGGACGACCGTCTGAAGAACAAAACAGATCGATGATAAGTGGTTCGTCTAGGAGCCAGCCAACACACCTCAACGCAAAGTCATGTATATACCAGCTGCGTGCATATATAAACGCATCACCATTCACCACCCACCATTATATTTTCTATTGATCAGCTCGAAGAATGCCTATAAGGAGATTTTAATGGCCCACAAAAAAAACAAAGAGTCATGCGTGTATATAATTAAATACGAATTTGCCAATATCTGAATAGTCTTCTTATATATGGCCCACGAGAAGCAAATCACACAGGGCAGGCAAATATTACCACTCTTTACTTTGATTTAATTAATGAGCTTTTCTAAGTCTGCTTCTTCTGTCTATTTATAGTATCTGCCTAGCTACCTGGTGTGTTCACCACCCTAATGTATAAGCTGAACTCACTTCTTTTTCATTAAGAAATTTCAGATACTCGATAAATATACTTGTTTGTTTATTTAGACTCAGTCGTCATGTGAAAACATATATAAATCATTAGTATAGATGATTTTAAACTAATTCATTTCCCTAATTAAATAAACCTCTTTAATTAGTCAATCAAGCTACGTTACGCGAGTTCTCTTCGCGAATGTTACATATCTAGCACTTTGTAGACGATAATAAAAAGGAAAAAGACTTTCGATAACTATATATATGTTTCTCTCCAGATGATTTGTTCGATCGTTGATAAATAGATTTTCATATTGATCAATATATATATATATATATATATATGTTTCTATCAGAGAACTAACGTCTTAACCAACTGAGATAAATAAGCTAGTCATCTCATCTAATATGGATATATATATCAAACATGAAGCAAATCACTAATTTCTGTGCTATTAGCTTCCAGCTAAAGTTTTGGGTTCAGATTAAATCAAGTATCCTGTAGACGGGGGATCAAAAACAAACTTAAAGCTGGTATATATCAGTAGTAGCAGCATATATAATGGGTGGATACACATATATAGATGCATGAAACTGAGTAAACATGTATAAATAGATATGATGATGTTGGGGTGTGTGTGTAAGAAGTAAAAAATCCAAGAGTTAAAAAAGAGAGAGAAGAGGAGAGGAGAGGAGAGGAGAGGAGAGAGAGAAGGTTTGATGTGGTTGTCGAGATGCTAACAGAGAGGCACATGCAAAGCTTAAATGATGGTATCGCTGGTGGCCAAAGCATCTCCTTAAAGCTGTCCTTTTTCATCTTAAGTCCTCTTTCTTTTTTTTTTCTTTTTTTTTTTTATATTTCCTCTTTCCTTTGCTACCGCTTCCTCCTCTCTCTCTCTCTCTCCCTATATATTTTTGTTTTCTTTAATTTTAACATATCAACTTGTTTGTGTATAAACTTACTAATGTGCAGTTGTGTGCACGTATGCATACCTAAAAGTGTCCCCGATTAATTAATTATCTATTTAATTTCCTTTTTCTTGCGAGTTACAATATACGTTTCAAGAATAATGATTTACACTGTCGAGAGATTACAACTGTTTTGGTTTGGTTGAAGATATACGTTCCGGCCTTAATCGTCTAAAAGAAAAGATAAGAGATCATCACGAATATGTGCTCAATTCCTTTTTCCATAAAGTTGGGTATTTAAACTATACTATATGAATATATATTAGACTGTGTGTGTGGGCGTATATATATATATATATTTATTTTTTAGTGTTGAATTTTTGTTCACAAACGTAAATGATGCATCAAAAAAAATCAAAATGGACCATTGTAATGCACACATCACAATTTTGTCAAACCCCGTAATTAATTGCGTCGAACAAGAAAAACTTGAAATCTTATGTGGCGTAAATCACATATATAGCAGTGGGAAGAAAAAAGTAGATTATTTTTTTCCCCCAAAATAGACTAAAGTAACAGACCTAATTTTTTTTTTTCCTGGAAAGAATTGGAGTATATATATATATTTTTTTTAAACCTCGAAGCCGACAAAAAACTAAGAAAATAATTATATATACTGAAGAAAAGAATATTATAAAAAAAATACATGAACAAGGAGAGAGAGAAAAATGCGTTATAATAAAGAAGGATAAAGCCCACTAAAGGTCATCACTCATCTAACTGTATACTATTTTTTTTTTTCGAGGCAATACATCAGTTTACCTGATCTAGTATTTTAAACTGATCTAGTATTTTATTTTATTCTCTCCAAGGTTTTGTATAATATAGTTTTGTATGATACGTAGAAATACGTATATATATATATATATATGTCTGTCAATACGTAGAAATCTAAAGGGAACAAATAAAACACAGCAGCTGTCTAACAGTAAAAATTAGCGAAGCTAGATTTGTAAGAAAAATAAAAAGGGGTTAAACTAAAGATAGATCAATTGTAGTATTGATTATGGTGATTGAATTTGGATTAACAAAAGTACTAGAGTCAACATCCAATTAAGTGCTTTTTTAAGTAAAGATCGAATAGGCAAAATGTATATATATATAAAATTAAAGAAAACAAAGTGTATGTGTTGTGTTTGTGTTATATATTAAACTTTGCTTACATCATAGATAGGTATCCCATTAGGTTGGTGTACCATGTGATGATTCTTCTACCACCGAAAAAACAGAAATCAATATTATTTTTTTAATAAAAAATGCATATAACTAATCTTTTGAATATAATAACAATTAGGGATTACTCTACACACAGATCTTTGATTAGAAAAATAAATAGGTTTATATATATGTGTGAACCAGATTTTTTTTATTTTTTTACTGTTGTAAAACTTTGGGAAAAGGGGGAAAAAGGAGTGTTAGGGTTAATAAAATAAATTCATTTATTGAGGGGAAATGGGCACATCTAGGGTAACATCACCTACCCATACAAAAATTTTATCATGCTTTTAGGGCTTTTTTTTTTTTTCCTTTTCTTTTGTTGCCTCCACTGGTCCCGCGACTTCCCTCTCATCCCCACTCTCTCTTCCCTCCCGTGAACTACACGCTCCAATATCTCTTC